GATTTATTTTGGCCAAAATAATTGATGAGGTTGTTGGATGAATAAACAGGGAGCTATCAGGAGGGCACAGAATGGGCATTCCCTCCACCGTGGCATTAGTGTGCACTGATGTCTGCCTCTAGCAAGAACCCTGAAAAACTGGAGAGGGCTCAAAGGTCCTCAAGGGTGAGTTTATAGAATCAGCTTTGGCTAAGCTGCCTTTTGGTGTGTTACTCCCCTTTCTGACCATTACCTGCATCCCTCTGGAGAGAGTAGAAGGAGGGTGGTGAAATAAGTAAGAGACACAGGGATCAACCAACTAATGAGCAAAGAATCAAAGAGCTGAATAGCAAGTAGCAGCAGATCACAGTGACATTTTCAAGGTGAAAGGTTAATAACTTAAAGCTGCAAATACTTTGAAAGAGAGAGATTATTTATTGAGCTGAAAGTGGAAGGTTTAGGAGTAATTGAAAAATACTAGGATAGATAGTAGACAGAGAGGCTTCTTTTTGCCTTGTCTGACTTCCTGACAGACAGATCTATTAGTCTGTACATTAGTTTATCTTCTCAGAGAAGCAGTGAGAAATATTAAGTTACTATTTTGATATTAGGTGGGGAAAAACACTAGAAAATGCTCTAAAAGAAATTCCTCTTTTGTCAGGAAGATGACTTCGCTGACCTGGAATTGATTTCCCATCACGAGTTCTATCAGTATTTTGTGTAATTTTCTCATCTTCTGCAAAGTAACATCAAGATTTAGGAAAAATGTCAGTCCTGTAGGTGTCTGAATGGGTTTTTTTTCTGTAAGATGGTGAAAGAAATGGAATTACCTTCTGACTGCTGGAGGCTTCTGGTTTTACCATGTTCTATTACAGAAAAAGCAATGGATTTGTGCTGTGCTGCAAAAAAGCCCCATATTTTTGCTGTGACAGCTGAATATTGTTGGATTCACTTTTTCTTCCTGATCACTTTATATTCCTTAATGGCAGACTTAGCTTAAAATCACAGATCTCTTTTCTCTCCATCTTTTATTTTGTTTCACTTTAATCATTGCTGATCAAGACAGAAATTATGCAGTCAGTAAGGGATAGTCTTTATAATCTGTTTAATGCTGAATTCATGTCATGAAAGAATTACATACAACTGTGTCTGATGTGGGGTTACTGAAAGCATCTCTGGAGTGCCCAGTTTCAAAAGTGGAGGACAGTTTCTTTTGGTGGCTGCCTGACCTAGATTTTTGATTCAATCAGAGGTTGAATGAGTGAGAGAGAAAAATAATTGAGATATAAATTTGAGTTTGAATGAGTGAGAGAGAGAAAAATAATTGAGATATAAATTAAGGGTGTAGGCTAGACTGGAGTGTTACAAAACCAGTATCCAGGTCTCATGCCTAGATTCATCATACTCTGAGTCCTCTTCTGCTCAGCCATAGCCAGCAGTTCTTTGATGCAGGAATAAATGGGTGGGAGCACATTTCTGTGGGTGCATAAGAACAAATACTTTGCCTTTCTCTGAGCCTAAGGTCTTTTGTCCAGGTACATTTTGTCTCTCAGTGAACCCAGATGTGATGACAGCTTGTCCTTCCTCTCATATGCCCAGTTCAGTAGGGGGCATCTTCCCAGCATAGGTGGGTGAATAGGGCTGTTACCAGGCACTCAGATGAAGCCTCTTGGCTTTTTGCCAGCATTAAATAGGATGTTGCTGACAGTCTGCACAGTGGATAATGTAATTAGCAGCTCAGGTTTCATGCTGTGCTCTTGGAGGCAAAGTACAGTTAAGTTTTAATATATCTTAATACCAGACCAGCAAACTTCATGGAGACTTATCTCAATGCTAAAAAAAAATATTTGTACTTTGTTTGCATTGGCCATCACCAACAGCAATGGATTTTTTTTCACACTAAATCAGAAAATTTAAGTTTCAAGTAGCTTAGGCCTCTGTTAATGGTAGTCTGCCACTGGAACTTGTGTGTGCTAATGAGAAAAAAGAGGAAAATCCCAAGGGCATTTATGTAATTGGGGGCAGGGGATTGGGAGGACGAGTGCAAGTTGAATATTTTGATTAAGTTGTAGTTTTGTCAGGAGGAATAACTCTAGAAGGATTTCTGCCATCACTGTACTGTGTTTTGTGGGTCCTGTGATATTCAGGCTGTCTTCAGAATAGAAGGAGCTTGGAGTGTGTGAGGAGATGAGTGGGTGGAACAGACTTTACAGAAAGCCCTGAAGGTAGTAAATACTGCAGCTACAGCAGCACTTCAAGATGGGCAGATACCAAACTGAGCAACATCTCAACAGACACAGAACATACTTTGAGAGGCTCAAGGTGTCCAAAGGTCTTGTTCTTGTTGGGAGGCACAAGCTCAAGGTGTCCAAAGGTCTTGTTCTTTTTTCACACCAGAATTTCTCGTAATCATGGAATCATAGAGTCACTATGGTTGGAAAGGACCTCCAGGATCATCAAGTCCAACCTTCCACCCAGCATCTCCCTAACCACTAGACCATAGCCTCAAGTGCCACATCCACTCGTTTTTTGAACCCCTCCAGGGATGGTGCCTCCACCACCTCCCTGGGCAGCCCATTCCAGTGCCTGACCACTCTCTGAGGGAAGAAATTCTTCCTAATATCTAATTGAAACCTCCCCTGGAACAGCTTGAGGCCATTTGCTCTTGTCCTATCATCAGTAATTTGGGAGGAGAGACCAACACCAGCCTCACTACAACCTCCTTTTATGTAGTTGTAGAAAGCCATAAGGTCACCTCTCAATTTGTTTCCAATATGTGAATGATTTTTAGCATACATTTTTCATATGCCTTTCATAAGGCTGGCCAAATGTTGACCATTTAGGTGCCACATAAAAATTCACATTCTGAGGATTCCATCCCATTACTGAAGATACCTTTCTTAGCAAATTAGTGTCAGTGTCTTACATACAGTGCAGAATCAGCTTTTCCAGCATTAATGCCCCTACATATTTGAACACAGAGGCAGGAAAAAATGTAGTGTTTGACAGTTGGCCTGTGGAGACCACTCACCTGTAGTCAGTGCTGCAACGTGATGCTTTTCTCTCCTAAAGTTATCCCTTCCTTGAAACCCCATGAAGACAGATGACTGTCTTTAATACTATACTAAAAGTTGGAAGAATGCTACATTCTCATGCTATGAAATGTTTCAAAGCATTTTACTCACTGTGTGATGCACGTCTGTCATATGTATTAAAATGAAAATTGTTTTAGCAGTTGAAAATCAGACCAGATATTGCTGAAAAACTGAAAGCAGTGGTAAGTTTGAAAAGGCTGAAGATATGTTCACAGTTTGTTGGGGTTTTTTTTGCCAGGTTTTGTTTTATTTTGTTTTCTTTTACTAGATTATTCTCTGTGTTTTCATAATATTATCGTTCAAATTAGTTCTGCTGAGAATATCTTAGCTGTTATCAATGGCATATATATATATATAAATATATATATGTATATATGTCTCAGCTGCAGTTCATGTGAATAGAATTCCTGTCTCCTCTGGCATGATTTCATATTTTTATATTGCTGAATTCATAGGCCACCCAGCTGAGGTTTCAAAGCAGTTCATTTTGCAGCTCTCTCTCTCTTTGGACACCTTTTGAAACGAAATGTTTGGTTTAGTCAACTTGTTTATGATTCCTAGAAAATAAAAGACCAACGACAATCTTAAATAAAGATTACTGCATACTTTAGTCTGGGACTTGTGTATTTTCACATGCACATGTTCAATAAATAAAAAAGCCCTGGTTGGTATGAGTTGTTCCAAAAAGAAGTCAGAAAGTACTGAATATGTCATTGTCAGAAGGACTACAAAGGATAATAATTTTGGTAAATTTATTTTCTTTTGAATAACAAACATTTTGTCTGGAAGAAAACCTCTGTTTTAAACCAGTGAGCCTTAGTATACTGGATTTACTATTCATATTGGTGAAGCTGAAAATAATTTCTTTGGCCTTTTATGTTTTCTGAGGTTTTGATCTTTCTTCCCAACACAACCAAACTTCACATCAGTATTCTTAAGATCTGTTCTGAATAAAAATGCACAAATGTCTATGTATTTGTGCCACAATTATGATCAGATGCCACCGTTACCAATGAAGGTTTTAGAGGTATATGACAAAAGGATCCCTGAGTTAGAGCAGTGCAAGGGGATTAATAAGAAGGGTACTGGAGAGGGGACGTGTTACTAGATAACAGATACAGGGAAGTTACCTGATTCCTTTGGAAATCCCAACCTTCATACCTTACAGAAAGAAAGACTCTGTCCTCTGGATGTGTGCAGTGATGTGGAGGTTTCATTAGTGTTACTTTCAGATGGGATGTTCTTGAGTGGTGAAGATGAGACCACTTATGCAAGTCCTCCCAAAAGATCCCTGATAAATCCACGTCACATATAGACAGCATATATTTTACTGTTGAACCCTTCTAAACATAGAATGGTTTGGATCAGAAGGGGCCTTTAAAGATCATCTAGTCTAATCCCTCTGGGCAGGGACATCTTCAAGGAGATCAGGTTGCTCAGAGCCCTGGCCAACCTGAATGCTTTAGAGATGTGGTTGTTGGCAGGTAGCTAGATCTGCTGTTACTGCAGCATGGGCACTACTGGAGTGCACGGTGTATCTGTAAAGGTTGTGTACTGGTAAAAATGGGAGTGGCTAAAGAATAGTAGAGAACATGTTCTTAAGTAAAATGGTTGGCAGGCAGCTAAATCTGCTGTTACTGCAACATGGGCACTACTGGAATGCACTGTGTAGAGGTTGTGTACTGGTAAAAATGGGAGTGGCTAAAGAATAGTAGAGAACATGTTCTTAAGTAAAATGTTTTGTTGTAGTTGTGTCTGAGAAGTGTTAAGACTGTTCTAGAACATCATCAGGACTACTGCACCAGTACACTGTAATGAGAGTGAGTGTAAAATAACAGGGCTTTGTGAAATATATGGTAATGCTTAACAAGCATAGTTTTACAAAGAAATATCAACTCTTCCTTGGTTCTTGTTGTTTTATTGTAGTTGTCTCCTATTCTGGATCACATGAAGAAAACTCTTCTTCACCTAATCCACCTCAGAAGCTCTCCATGATAAAAAATAGGATGGTTTCATTGCATCAGCCTTCTAAACCAGGTACTGCAAGCCCTTTTCCTCACATCCCCCTTATTTCTACTTCGGAATCTAGGTGCAAGATAGACCCTGGCAGTCACAAGGACCCTTCACCAGAAAGCTGTGCCACTGGATTTCTGACTAGAAATGGAGTAATGACTCAGAAAGGCCAGTATAACTTGAAGGGAATCCCTTACTTCCTTATGAAAACAAACAAAGCCCAGCAGAATTAAAAAAAAAAAAAAGGGGGGGGGGGGTGAGTGGGAAGGAAGGAAAGAAGAAGAATACTCCATCAGCTCAGTGGAATACAGCAAATTTGGGGTTGAGAGTTCTTGTAGTAAAAGCTAATTAGTGGAGCTGCTTTTAAACAACTACAGGACAAACTACCTTTCTTGATAGTGAATGAAAGTTTCTTTTTCAACTGGAATTTTCTTTTTCTAGGCATTGTAAAAGTTCAGTGAGCTGGACAAAATGCTTGTGAGATAGGTAGGATGAATTTGATCTTACTATGGCACCAGGATTAGCACCATACTTTATGCATGCCTAAGAGAAATGAGACAGTAGTTTTTGGTTATTATTGGAAGCTTGGAAATTGAAGTAGCACCTTTTCATTTAGTGAAATAACCCAGAACAGTTGGGGTTGGAATGGACCTTTTGAGATCATCTGCTCCAATCTCCCTGGTCAGAATAGAGTCAGCTAGAGCAGGCTGCTCATGGCCATGTCCAAGTGGGTTTTGAATATCTCTTTTGAATATCTGTAAGGTGGTGCACAGCAGTGTCAGAGGCTGCAGCTTCCAGTGTTCTCTTTCACTGTGACCACATGAGTATACCCAGTTCTTTTCCTCTGTGATTTATGCTAAACAACAGCTTGTTGTTGATCCACCTTTCCATGGCAATGCAATGCACGTGATCTGTTGCCAGAAAGCTCAGAGACCTTTTTTTATCAGATGGCAACAAATTCCCTGTTCTGTTTCAGACTCTTCTTCCAGGCATTCAGATCCTCTCACGCCTCAGGTTGTGGTGGGTAACCTTTAATACAGCCCAGAGAGTATGGGAATTAGGTGCCTTTGAAGGATAATGTTGTGTTCATTTATCTGAGCTCCAAACTGCTTTGTCATGTGAGACACGTTCCAAGGATTAAGTCTGTATTTACACAGCCCTTGCTACTGCAAGTGGAGGTATTGGTAAGACTTAATGAAATGATTTTGTCAGAAGTATTAGTTTCAAGTAGATCTCTGTTTAAAAAAGAAAAGGAATTTTTTTCTTTGACGAGCTCTCATTCTGCTCTCTTGTGTTGTGCTGTTGTGAGAGAAATTGCTTTCTGGGTTTTATGACCAACTAGATTTTTAGCTGATAAAAATATTACTATTACTGACAATAAGTCTGTGGCTACTGAGCTACCCTGTCAAACTTTACTAAATTTGAAACAACACAGCAGGCCTTTTAACTGAAAGTTTAGTTAAGGTGTAGCACATCTTCTGGTGACTAAATATTTTCATTTTTGCCCCACCTGCATGGCCTTTGCAACCACCTATTCCTGTTACATCCCTGACCTGAATTCTGTTTTTATACCTGTCTCTTCTCCTCCCCAGGAACAGGGACACCAAATTGCTAATACTGTGTTGTTTGTATTTGTAAGCTCTGGATACCCTGTGAACGTCAGGATCCCAAATATGAATGTTTAGTCTCTTATTAATTCTCATATGGCCTGGAGGACCTGCAGTTATTACTGTAATATTATTATTACTACTGAAAATAAATACCATGCAAGTTAATATCAGCTTCCCATATCTATTCAGCCCCACTCTATGTGGGAGAGCTTTGTGCAGCTAACATCCCTTCAGGGAGTTTATATTAGATTGATGAGAGAACAGTGAATTACTTCTTGTCCGGTTTATAATATGCTGATTATGAAAAATTCTAGCCAGGATGATCTAGTGTTCTCAGTGCTGAGAATGGGCTCTGGAGTTTAAGAGGGTGTTCTTGCCCGTCGTGCTGGAGGAAAGCAAAACTGTTTATAAAAAAAAAAACAAAACCAAAAAACTCCAAAAAAAACCCAACAAAGTAAAGCTTCTGCTTGAGACCCTGTCAAACTCTTTCTGTTGCTGAGGGGGTTGACCTTAGAGTTTCATTTGTTCCTCTCTGCCAAAATGCTAAATCCATACAATTTCAATATCCTTCCTGCACTAGGTAGGATAATTCTCAGTCAGGATTTTATGCACACGTGGGCTGGGCCTTCCACTGATCCAAATTCATTCTTGATACTGGTGGGAGGATGCTGATTTATACCTGCCAAGAATTTGCAGGGTTGGTTTTCATTCTAGCATGTTCCTTCACCTGCCCTGGGAGGGACTCTTGTTATTGCACGAGACAAGTTTTCCCTTTGCCCTTCAACTCTTCCATTTCTTGGGAGAGAGAACCCCCATTCCCTGTACTCATTCTCCTGAAGGCTCATTCATCCTGCCCCTTCAACTGGGGAAGGCCTCAGTGGAACCTCTGGTTTCTCATGACAGAAATCTCTTGTATCATCGGCTCAAGCTGTTCGTGGGTGACGTCTACAGACAGTTTTGGAAAACCTGACTGGGTGTTATCTTCAGCTGGTGTCCTGGTGTCTCAGGAGAGGCAGCAGCTGCTTCTGGAAAACAGTTCCTCCCATGGGGATGTTGAAGGTAGGCAGTTATGGTTCTCCTCGAAGGGACATCTGCTTTCTCCCAGCACTGGTAGCAGCTTTGGGTGGCAGCAACAGGGGCCAGCAGGCTGAGGGCTCAGGCACATGTCAATAAAATACTGCCTGGTGCTGGTGCTCAACTCACAGCCATGCTGTCAGTGCCCAGGAGTCCCTTGGAGCCCTATGATGAATGTGTGTGCTGCCCAAGTCGTGAGTGTGTGTACTCTGTAAACAGCCACCCCCTTTATATACTGGGTTTGTATCTCCCTCCTCCAGGATAAGCTACTTTTGCTTACAGACACTGGGTTTTCCTTAGGAAATTCAATCCTTTACAAGCCAGGGCTGGCTCCACAGGTCTGCTGTATGACTTGCACAGTCTTTGGCTTTTGTTGGACATGTCTTTGCTCTGTTTTGTTTAGTTTCTTATCTTCTCATTCCTTCTATCACATGTTTACTTATTCATCTTATTTTTTCTTTATTCTTCTTTCTTTACTTCTGTGGTGTTTTTTTTTTTCTTTTTTTTGGTGCATAGTTCTTTCTTCTCATGATTCCTCAAACTCTATCCACTTTCATCTTATTAGCTCTCTTCCATCCACAGTATGTGTCTCTTTTTCTTTCTTTCTTTTTTTTTTATCTCACAGGGGACATTTTCCTCCTGAACACCAGTAGGCTCCTCGATAGATGTGAGTTCAGCCTGCAGAGCCCCATCCTGCCTGGGAGCTTGGACTCTTGCTTGCTGGAACTGGCCATATATTCACAAGATGCTGTTCCTCTCCTCCAGAGGTTCACAGCTGAGATCAGATGTGTGGAGACAAACAGAAATACAGTCATTTCTCTGCGAGCTGGCCGTGAGGAGGATGCCAGGTAAGACAGTCCATTTGCATCTGTTTAGACTTTGGACTGCAGGGTAGGATGGAGTCCTTGCAAGCCACTGTTTATCAGTGTCCAAAGACTGCCTCAGCAATGTGACTGATATCTTGAAGTATTCAAGGGGTCCTGTTGTTGTTTACAAGGGTCACATTTCTCATTTTGAGGGAGGGTTAACTGTACCTTTCTTTGCAATTTCCTCTTTATGTCTACTAAGTTCAGGAGCATCCCCTTTTGTCTTATTTGTAGAGTTCAAGGAGGGGTAAAACAGAGGCTAGAGGTGAGAAGAGGTGAAGACAAAAAAAAGTGGAGCAAGCCTGGATCTTGTCTTGTATTCTCTTCTCTTCGAGCTTTCAATGCTTTACTTTTTCCTTCTTGCGTGTAGCAGAAGGCAGTGGGGAGGAGAAATGGGCAAAGGGAATGAATCACAACAAGAAAAGGAGAAAAGTCCACGTGTCATCTGCTTTTGCCATTTTCCATGTGCTTGTTTTTCCTTTGCTGCAATCTGCCTTGTAAGAACCTGGGTCAGACACACAACAGAGCTTTTTATTTCCATCACCTGACTGACTCCCATGGAGAACTTAAGCAACAGATCCCAGTTCTTGTTTTCTTTGAATTCTTTGGCACTCCCCAGGCTGCCATGGAGATCTGTAGCCAAGACTCTTGGTCAGCCAAAGATAGCAGTGTTTGACTAAAAAAACCTATTTATTTTCTTTCAGATCCCTCTCTCTCTGCTGCTATTAGCTATTGCTCACTTCCTTCCTGGCTGCTCCTTGCCCTTCTGTGTGCCAGTTTCACAAGGAGTTGGTTGCATTTTCTGGTGTTATTTTCTAATGCCCTTTTTTACCTATAACTGCCCTTGCTACTTTTGAGTATTTGACAAACCTCTACAATTGCAGCCACAGCTCCTGTATAAACCCATAAAAATCTCCTTTTGATATGCCTAACTGGCCAGACCAGGCTTTGATCACAGTCACTGCAGCATCTCAGGAATGGATCACACATGTTGTTTAACAGCTTATTTGAGCACTGCAGAACAATTCTACATGAAATCAAGTTTATAATATCTCTAAAAGTGATGGCATTTAGATATATTAGAATGGAGTTTGCTCTACTGGAAGTTGGCATAGGCACTGGTATTGTTTTTTCTTAGTGAGTGAGATGAAGCACTGGTAAGCTCAGAGGGTTTAGTGTTAAGATTTTAAAGGTGGAAGTTGACTGAGTCCTGTTTTAAATCATGATAGAAAGGAAACAAACCAGTTAGGAACCATGTTGGGTCAAATACTCATCCTTTTCCCCCTTTACGAGGAAAATCTGTAAAACTCTCCACAATTCCAGAAAAATCTGAGCATTCAGGCAGGACAAGATTTATTTCTAACAGAATGTTTGAGCTGCTTCTTACTAGGCAGGTAGTCTGAAATGAGCAGAATGAAATTAAATGAGCATTCTCTCCATGATTAAGATTTTAACAACATTGGTTGTTAAGGAGACCATCCTGAAGTGCTCCAGCTTTCCAGGGGCTTTCCATAGAGAGTGGGAGTTCTACAGGCTCTTCTGTTAACCAAATACTACTGCAGAATTTAGAGAACAGGGACAATGAGTAAATGACCCTGAGATAGATGCCTTTCTCTAGTGCACAGTTTCACCATTGACAATTACACCCAAGGGACTGTTCTGAGTTCAGAGTAGAAACTTAGATATGGATAAAAGGCTAAGTGGCCCATTTTTGGATAAGCAGGCATTCCAAAATGCCTCTTCTGTCGCTTTTGTCACTCCTCAATTCCAGGATCAAGCTATAGTTCAGCACCAATTCCAGGTGTACCAGACCATTTCAGTGAACTGTCCTCTTTCTGGACCTAGAAATCTCATGATAGTGTTTCCTCCTTCAGAATCCATCAGCTACATCATTCCCTAAACATTCATGGATATAAGTAATTAATGAGAAAAAGTTGTTATCCTTTCCACCTCACCAATTACTAGGACCAATAATTACATTGCTATTATTGAAGCTGCCACACATTTTTTCACACATACACCTTAGTGAAAGAACAAAAAACCAGGTGGACCTTCAGACACCATGTCTTTTGAACATATAGGGCAAAGTCACAGGGTTTATTGTTATATCCTTACAGGGTGTGGGTATTCTGAGTCACTACCATTAGCAGGAGAACCACTGAGTGAGGTGTTTGAAATTCTATATATTTACAAAAAATATCTAAAATTGTTTCTCATTATCTCAGTAGAAGCCAAATACCAAGAATCTGTAGCTTTGCTTGCGAGTCCTTCTTCATTTGGCACTTGGCTCAGAAAGCTGTCTTCACTTTCTCAGGGTTATAGTTACAGTGCTTGTTTGGGTCATGTCTAAGGTCTTTTTTACTATTTTGCTTATTCCTCCTTTTGTCTCTTTACCACACAGACCCAGAAACAGTCACAACTGATAATTCTCCTGTGTACTTGTGGTTTTAACAGTTTTGCATGCTTGTGTTTGTTGTCAACCACAATCATTTCAGTGTTGTCAGCCAAAACTGTTTCAGGAAGGAGCAAATTTCTTTCAACTCTACATACTCACACTTTAATGAAAAGAAAATCCCACGACATCAATTGGGGCAGGGATAATCTTTTCCCTTTCCGTGGTCAACAAGCCAAGTTGATTTTGTTCCATTTTATTTCTGAAGTAGAAGGAACTGGCCATGATAGTCATGGTAGATCAAAAAGCAGAAAGTGCACACATGGTTTTTCAGTTAGCCAACCTCACAAAACAATTATTGCTTTTTTTAGTGTATTTTTTTTTTCCAGAGGTGGTAGTGCTAAAATGCTCTGCCAGCTTCTTAGAAACTTGTGGAAACTTACTGCCTTTGACACTTCTGTTGTATTAATGTGGTTGTGTTTATCCAAAAAAAGATTCTAGTATTGTACATGGAGACATTGCCATGTAGCTCACCTGAACTCCTAGAAACTTGTGCGGTCATTTGGGTTTCATAAATAAGGTGTCCAACTGCCCAAGCCTTTGAAAGGGAGTAGTCTGCTAAACATCCTCAGAAAATGTCTAATGTGTACTGACAACAGTGAGTGCAGCTCAGCTAGGGCAGGAGAGGCTGCCCAGATGTTATGTAAGACTATGGTTTTTGAACACTGGTTTGGTTTTTTTGAACACCCATGCAGTAAATCCCCCTAATTCAGAAAAGCTTTCAAGTTTATTGTATTTTTCACTCTTAATGAAGAAATTGTTGTTCTTAATATTAAAAGTCTTCCTTAAAATTAATGATCAGATACCTTTGTTGGATATGGAAGGGCGTGGCACAGGATTGGTAAGGAAGGGGAGGAAATCTTTTCCTCAGCAGAGGAGTCTGAGAGCTAATGAAAATCAAAAGTTGAAATTATAGGTTGGCAGGGTGGATCTTAAATTCTCTTGCCAGGACGCCTGCAACTCCAAACTTGCTATCCATGCAAATTTCTCAAAATTATGTCAGGCTGTAGCCCTTCTGTGTATATATACCAATTTTAACATCTCTCTTTAGAAGAAGAGTAATATTACCTCACGATTTGAGATCTAGTTTGACATAAAATCAATATGAAAGGTATGGCCAAGCTTGGCTGATCTGGAAGCCTGCTGCAATAATCCATCTTCTGCTTAGATCAACAATGGGCTTCGCTCCTGATTCCATTAAGAAAATTAAATGGGCTCTGAGTGGCCCCTGTTTGGGTAGTGGAACCATGCAAAGAGGTGTCATTATTTACAGCATTAGAAATCTTGCTGTGGTTGAATCTTGAGGGCGAGGCTTTCTCTGAAGGGGAATACCTCAATGATGATGAGACTCCATACACAGAAGTATTCTGGGTGATGCAAAGCTACTTGTCATTTTTTTGGTCTCTGGATGCTTGCCAGCTTTTGCTGTAGTTTTATAAATGGAGCCAAGTTTCAGTACCAGAGATATTTCAGTGCAGAACTGGAATGTTTCATGGGACCTTACGGCTCTGACTCAGAACTACCAGCTCATTCAAGCAATGGTTTAAGATAGTGGCCCTGCTTTTCTACCAGCTGCCACAGTTCTCTCAGTAGAGGTGGCAGAGTGGACAGTGTGTCCTTCTCAGTTGTGACATTTCAGAACTTGGTTTATTTACCATAGCAGTTCATCAGTAGTTTTCAGTTATTTTAATATACCAGGCTATAAACAGCAAGTTCCAAAGTGTCTGGCTCGTGTAGGATTGAAGTGCAGCAGCTGAACTAGTCATTGTTTTCATCTGTGGAGCAGTAATCTCTGTAGCTGCTACTACTAAATATAACACTGGTTATGAATCAGAGGCTGTGTGCTACAGGTTCCTGCACTCAGGACTGTGATGTCTCAGCTGCAGGGTGGGTGGTAACTTGGCGGAGGTATTAGAATTATGTCTCAATGCTTGGAAGGTCTAGTATGCTTAACTGTTAAATTCAAAAGAGTTAAAGATTGTCCTTCAGTGCCTCATTGAACCAGTCTGACTAAGGCCCATTGATTTTTGTGGTCAACAGGATGTGATGGAGTGATGAACAAAAGCTGTATCATGTAGCAGAAGTGATTCAGTTCTGAATGGTGTTGGATGTTGTGCCATAGCGTGGTGAGGGGGGATATATATTTATAAGTGTATTTATAAGATACATTTATAAGGGCTGGATATTCCTGAAGCTGCAGTGTAATACAAAATGAAAGTAAAGCAGTCGTTCTACTTTGGGTGTTAGAGGTGGTGCAGTTGTGGTGCAGGGCTGGACGTTTCTGAAGCTGAATTAAGTTCTATTAACTATTGAATATGATATGACGGGACAGGAATCAGGAGAAATAAGGTCATCTTGATAAGAGGAGCTCAACTTCAGATGAGTTTAAGGTATCTGAGGGTATCTATGTGTGTGTATGATGGTGAAAGTGGAAGATGGGGAGATGCCATAGAAGGGATAGCAAAAAACTCTCTCAGAAAAAGTTATGTAGGTGGTTTGTGGAGGGAAGAATGAGTTAGGAAACTGATCAGGGGCAAAAGCAAAAGCAGAGAGGTTGATTAAAAAACTGAGGTTGCTTTGGGTTTTTTGCAAGTTGCAAATTAGGTGATCTGTGATTTTTATATTGTGTCCAGTAGAGATGTGTTTGTTGCCTGGGTGTTGCCTTCTATTGTGTTTCTGCTGCAGGACAAGGGCTAGATGACTATTTCATGGCAGCTGAAGGCATTTCCCAAATGAAAAGGTAGTACTAGGAGCAGAGCCTGAGCAACACCTCTTAACACTGTGGCCTGGACTCCTTATTATCCCACTGACACTGACTTAGTCACTCATCCAGGGGGCCCCTGGCAATATCAGCAGCATGTAGGGTATGGGTGAATTTATCTCTTTCTGGTACTCCTTCCAGAAAAGAACTTAGAGCAGGGATTCCTTTGTCATTACCCTTGCTACAACCCCTTTACAAAGTAATATTGTATATTTTTAACTGTATTTTATTTTCATGTTAACACAAGGTAGAAGGATGGTTTTTAAAAACTAAAAATAATTTTTAAAAGATTTTTAAGAATCCTGCTGGATTTTTTTAATGACACTTGGATACCCTGACTTCCATCTGAATGATTTGAGTGAGGTGCTTTGAAAATTTCCATTTGGTATTTCTCTTTAACTTTCAATGCCTAACAACCACCTTTAAAATTAGAGTGCATGGGACCATCTGTCTTCCTCTTAGCTACCACAATTGCTGCTCAGCTGAGAAATATTTGCTGTCTAGGGGCTATGGTATTTGTTCTGTGATGAAATGAAAATTGCCAGAGCAATCTGCATTTCCTGGAACACCACTTCTCTTCTTCCCAGTGCTTTGTGGGTGCACTCTGGCTTCTTCAGCTGGGAGATTAGATAGAGATTGCACAGAAAAAGGTTCTCACACTTGACACAACCAAGAAACATTCAGGGCCAGACATTTACTTCCAGAACATACAACAGCAGTGCCTGCTTGAGGAGATCCAGAGACTTGTGCAGCTGCTTGGTCGATCTGCACTTGCAAGAGCAAACAGAACACAACCATACAGGTGGAAGGCACATATGGGGGGTGGGGGGTCCAAAATTGGTAATAATGTAAGCCCCAGTTTAACTTCAAAATCATTGGGAATGGTTGGATCTTTTAGTCATTGGCAACAGGATCTGCAGCAAAGAGAACTGAACGTGAGCTTGTTGGGCTTGTACATCACTTGTTTTATAGCAACTCTGTTTACTGTGTTGGTGTTTACCTTCATTGACCTCTTGCCCATGTGGATACCACTGCTTATGTCTGGTACAGTGCAGAATATTTATGCTAGAGACTCTGGATTTCAGTGTGCTGTGTGTATGTCTAAGAGCTCTTTGTCTTCTAGGATGAAATGGAAATACCTGATGGCCCAGATTGGCCGAATAGAAAGACCTTTTCAAATCACCTTGCTGTATTCCAACTGTGGAGCACAAGAGACTGGAGTACTGGCAGTGGGCTCCTTGCAGCTCAGGAACTGCTTTCATGGTATGCTGCAATACAGGTTTGGAATAACCATATGCAGGTTTCTCAGGAAAGAGAGCAGCACCCTCACCAAAATTGATAAGGGAGTCGGTCAGATGGGATTTAAATGACAGCTGAATGTCCTCTGGTGTTCCTGGCAGTGCTTACCTGTCAAGGGTCACACTTCACGTGTGTTTTATGTGTGTTCCATGCTCTGAAGGCTGGGTTGGAGCTCAGAATTGTAGAGCTGATCTAAGTGATCCTCTCTGCTTTTCAGCTTTGCTTGACTGTTGCATGAGAAAACAACAGGGCATGTGCTACATCCAGCAACAAGGATGGAATAAGTCTCTGATTAGATTATTTTAGCATTTAATATTTTTCTTGCTTAAATAATGAAGAACAAAAGATTATGCTGTTGTCACCAAAGCCTTTTCCATAATGACACTCTCACTCCCAACTCTATAAAGAAAAGAAACATTGATCTGCCCTCCATGAGGTCTCTTTGTTACTTCCAGGACAAGAACTTCTGTCTAAAATGACAATAATTGGCATAGAATTCTGTTCTCCCAAAGTTCAGAAACCCTCAGTTTTATGTGGCACTTCCAGTCCTGTTGTGAACGTCACACAACTGCTCCTCAGTAGCTGTGCAGAACCTTGCTAATGTCATTTGGGCTTCTTGGAAGTACCAGAGTCTGTCAGCCCAGGCAGCGTGCAGCTTGGAGACATAATCAGCATCACTTCCTGGGTTTTGTGCATTAATATAATGCTATTGCCTCTGTTTTGCAGATACTGTGGAAATAGATTGGAAGGTAATATAACATCTTCAAATGCATAAAGAGAACATTGGTTTCACAGGACTATTTCATAAATATATCATGAGACTGGTTTTGATCGTATTAGAGATTTCATTTGATTGTGGTCCTTAATCTCTTAATTTAACATTCTATTTTTAATGTAATTTTGCCACTCCTAGAGTTTTGAGGGGATACGTACAGCCTGAAGCACTCTGCTAAATACTCAGTCCCTAAATAAGCTGATGCATGTACCCAGCACAACATGATGCCATGAAGAAATATTGCCCCAGACTGTACACCTGGACTGCTGCAGAGGTGTCCTCTTCTCTTTCTTCTGGAGCTGGTTCCCTAGATTTTGCATTTTTTCCAGAGAAGTAACAATCCCAGTGGACCTTCTGTGCAGAGCTCTGCTTTAGGGGAGCAGGTCCAGAAGATACCTACCTAAACCTGCAGGTCCACAACAGACCCATGCACACACACATCCAGCCTGGGTGCATTAAAAGTCATGCTTTTGGGAAACATCAGACTTTAAAACTGCATTCAGCCTGGTTGCTGGGTACCTGTGCAGTCAGTCCAATGCTCCTCGAGTGTAGCTGAGTAGAGTAGCTACAGTGCATGAGCAAAGTTCCTGGCACAGTGACCTGCTGGGGAAGCAGATATCTTCGTGGGCTGGGTGCCATGAAGCTGGCACAGAAATGTGTCAGCAGGACAAGCCTGAGCCTCAGCAGGGCATCACAACATGTCTGTTTGGAGCAGTGCTAAGTGGCTATTTCTGCTCCCAGCAGCAGTGTCATGCAGTGAGCAGAACACAGTAGGAAACTGCAAGGTCCTGTGGAAAGGAAAAAGTGACTGCCTAAAGAGAAATGTGATAATGTGAAGATAACACAAGCACAGCAGAAGACAGTGTGTGAGAGACAAAAGGGAAATAAATTTTGTCTCCATGAGAGGTGAGGTGATCTACAGGAGTCTCATACTGGATAGAAACCTATGTAGAAAAAGCAGACACGAGTATCATTTATCACTCAAAGGACACCTCCTGAGGTCCTGCACATCAAGGCTGACACACACAAAGGGTCACAGGCATTCTGCCAACTCATCTCTGGGCTTCTTTCCCTTTTTTTTTCCTTTAGATAAAGAAAACCAAGATCTTTCTATCTATGACAAAGGCTCCACCTTCCCCTGCCTTCATGGAGGCTGTGTCAGCCACTTGCAAATCTGTGAATTCACCAGCGACTGCCCTGCCAAAGAACAGGAGAAAGTGAGGTGTGGTGAGTATGTGGTGTGGTACTTCATGGGAACCTTCACCCCATCAGGAGAAATCATTTAGAAGGAAAATAAGTTACATTGATTCTATCTGTAGCTTAATCCAGTATTTCGCTTCCTGAATTAATTGAGCCTATTTTCATTAATTGGATACCAAGATTCCCTTTGAAAATTCATCCTATATAGGATAAAATGGATTGGTCTTGTTTGAGCTTCTGGGTTGCTTTGTTTTTTTTTAATATTGCAGTAAGGAGCTCAATGACCTGCCTTTCATAGTTGTTCCTACTTCAGAGAAAGGCAAAATCTTATTTACATGTCTGCAGCTGGGTGAGAAATTCCTTCTGGACCCAAGCTCTGAACTTCCCTTCAGTGGAAGGTGCTGATCATTGTTCTGATGCCAGCCACCAACAAGGTCATAAAGCTGTCCCTCCAAGATCCTAGTTCAGAGTTCTTCTTGCACATCATGGCAGAGAAATCCCCTGACTCAGTATATGTGGTGCTAAGAAGCATCATTTAGCTTTGTTTCAAGCATGGTGGCAGGCATCTAAAATACTTTGTTGACTGGCCTTCCACCAAGTGGAAACAGAAAACTTTGTGATCCTGCAAATTCATATGCAGCAAGGCTTTTGAGGGGATATGGCAGCAACTCATATGACCACTCTTTACATTGTGGAAGGTGCTGCTTTGTCCAGTATCTAGAGCAGGACAGATCTGCAGCGTCTCAAAAGACAGCAGAAGCACAATGTTGGCTTTCTGATGATGACTCTGGGTATAAACAAATGAAACCTATTAATGTTTTGACATTGAAAAACTGTGTAGCACAGGTTGGGCAGCTTAGACAACCACAATGAGGTTTGACTTTTGCTGCTGTTTGTGTTCTTCCATAATCAAGTTTCTCCTGTTTTTCTGCTTTTTCTTATTCTCCACTGTAGACAGTCTCCCAGAGGGCTCACATTGCTCTTTTGAAGAGGGTCCATGTGGCTGGACACTGAATGAAACTGGAGCATCTCCTTGGTCTATTCGGGGCTTTACTGAAATGACTCAAGATGACTTTTTTGTAGGGTCTACCTTGCAAGCCACTGGTGGTAGGCTCCTTATAGTTCTCTCTCACTCTTTCTCTGTGTGTATATGTATATATACAATAGCTTTGAACTTAGGCTTCTTCAATTGGTTCAATATTTTTTACTTCACTGCCAAATGAGCTTTGTCATCAGTATTGTCTATAACAACTTCAAATGCATCTAAAATTAACCTTTGAACATGATTCAAAATGTCTTATGGACCAAGTTCTGCAACAAAGTTAACATGGAACTATAAGAGATTAGGATTCTCCTTCACCTTAGAAAAAATGATACTTCTTCCCTCCTTCTAATTACATAATATTTCAGCAGCAACATTATATTTATAAACTTTATTGTGTTTATAAGTACCTAAAGGACAGGGGTCAGGAGGATGGGGCCAGGTTCTTTTCTGTGGTGCTCAGCAACAGGACAAGGGTCAACGGACACAAGCTGCAACACAGGAAATTCCACATAAACATAAGAAGAAACTTCTTTCCTGTGAGGGTGATGGAGCCCTGGAACAGGCTGCCCCGAGAGATTGTGGAGGCTCCATCTCTCGAGACTTTCAAAACTCTCCTGGACGTGATCTTGTGCAACCTGCTTTAGGTGAACCTATTTTGGCAGGGGGGTTGGACTAGGTGGTCTCCAGAGGTCCCTTCCAAGCCCTACCATTCTGTGATTCTGTGTACACAATAGATGCTGCAGCACAATGTAAAAACTGCTGAACAGAACTAGGCAGCTCATAGAAATAAACCTTTTGGAGACCCTTACCAGACTCTGCCCATGGGTTAGGAAGAACATCACATATAGAAGCATATCCCAATGCCAAGTTTCTACATATATCCCATGCCATAAAATACCACAATAAAAAAAGAGCCTGCTTATTCCCAGAACTGTCAGCCTGATAAATAGGAGGGAGGCCAGACCCTCACATGTTCAGGTTCAGAGTCAGAAGTGTTAGCACAGATGAGTCTTGCCTCACAGCTCCCTGTCAAAGAGTGTCCATATGTGAGTTCTGTTTGTCTCTTGAGAGTTTGTGTGAAGTGTCCCTGGGAACAAAGACTGGAAATTAGCTCTTCCAGCCTAGTGTTTGTCAGTGATGTTAATGGTGGAAGCATTAGGGCTGATAAGAAGCTCACTGTAGGTTGTTGGTGTGAGCCCCTGTGTTTAAGTGGTGTCTGAGGTTTATGCACTCATGTTCCAGGAAAGGGTTTGGGATGTTGACTTTTGTGCTGCTGAAATCTAGCAGAGTGTTTATCGTATCCTCACTGGTAGATTGGCTCTCAAGCCATGACTGTCATCTTACAATGTGATGTTAATTGTGATGCACAGTGATGTTAAATTATTTCAAGAGATTATCATAAAAAGCAAAACATCATCTTGTCTTTTCTGATTTTCACAGGACACTTCCTTTACCTACGAGCAGACAGCAACCAGACAAATGGAATGGCCAAGGCTTACAGCACCAGCTTGCCAGCCAGTATTGCCACTGAAGACTACCAGGTATGTCCCTCTGTCTTAGCACCTTTGTGGAGTTAATCATCAGGCTGAGGCACCTTTTGCACAATTAGCCCATTCTCCTGCACCTCTTCATCTGGATAAAATCACATAACCTGCCTTCAGCCCAAATCTCTATGAAGAGTAAGAGGAGCTCCAAGATGCTGGAGTTAAAAATATTATATAATATTAGACTCATAACACTTACAAAAATTAAGCTGCAAGTTTGAGCTGGAGTCCAGCCCTGCTAGGGGAAAACAAAAAGCTTTGATGCTTCCTAATTAGAGCTGGCAAAAGAAATATAGTGCATGTGCCAAAAATGTAACTTCAGCATTTATATTTATTTCTAAATCCAGGTCAACATCGCTGCGTAGTTCCAACAAAATAAAATGTGCATGGAGCTAGGTCCACAAAAACAGGAGGAGGAGACACAGTAACTATTGGTTATGGTGTACAAGTCTGAGGAGATTTGGAGCCTTTCTCTTCTCCACTGGCAAGGATTTGAATGCACATTTCAGGAGCAAGGAACATCCTGTGGTTGTTCTTCCCAGCACGTGTGTGTGTGTGCTCCCTTTCCTGCTGGTGCTCTCTGGAATAGTGAGAGCAGCCAAGCACTAAAAGCAGTGGTGGAAATAGCAGTTCTCTCTTGCTGTATGGCAAAGTGGAAGTGGCTGCTCCAAAGAAAAAGTGTCCTGCTTCAAAATAGTCTTTGGCCTGGTGGTCAGGTTGCTCATCTGTCATATGGGTGCTGTGGTCCAGATGGTGCTCATCTATAACACCATGTGGAGCAACTATATGGATTGAGGTTTCCTGCTTCTAGAGACACCTTAATTCTCTGTTTGAAGGGCATTAGGGGAAGAGCAGCTCTCCCCTCAGGATGCTTTTGTGCCCCAGGGTGTAGACTGAGCCAAAGAGTGCAACGCATTAACCTGGATGGTTACAGTGGGAATCCTTAAAAGATTTAACCTGTGGTTCAAACCCTTGCACAGGAATCTTTAAGCTGGTGAGAACACTGAAGAGGAATGCAGTTAGGATTGTTTTCCAGCAATTACCTAACTCTAGTGGAAGCATTTAATAATAAAACATTTCTTGAGTTTAAGCCTGTGTCCATCTGCTTTGCTGCTTTCTGTTCCTGAAGGAGCTAAGGAGAAAACCAGTGCTCTGGCACCCAGACTGTGTCTGAGGCCATGGGTGTTGTCATCAGTGGCTGGAGAGCAGGTGCCCAACAAGAGTGTTAACCAGGGTCTCCCCTGGGAAATTTCTGTCCTAGGAACAGTGATGAGTGGTAGACAAGCAACACAGGGAGGCTTCACAGTGTGTGTGATTGAACAGCTTGACCCAGGATCAAAGGTTTGGTGTCTCAGATGCCCAGGGAGGGGAACAGTGAGTACCTTTTTTATCACATGATACCATTCTTTTTCTCTTCTTCCCCTATTACAGATTCAATTCTCAGTGCATGTTTTTGGCAGCTACAATGGTACTGTCTCCTTCTCTGCCAGAGAAGAGGTGAAGGGAGCTCCAATCACCTTGCCAATGTGGGAGAGGACAGGGAGCTGGAGTGACCACTGGTTTCTAATCACCTTACCAATGCCAGTGCTTCAGAACTGGTAAGAGCTCCACCAGCAGCATCCAGAGTGATTCCTAGAGACTTGGTAATTTGTTACTGTGCTCTGGAGCATTGCTTTCATTCTTGCCTTCTTCCAGGGCTATTTCTACTGAAAAAAAATTACAGGAATGCTGCAATTTTGCTTGCTGAGGAAGTATTCTGTCATACATGCATCTCTTCATGCATGTGCATGGCTTAGCTCAGCACAAGCCCACACTGTGTGTCTGCACTTCCACACAGTGCTCAGGTGCTAGGAATAGCAAGTGTCTGTACTAGAAACATTATACCAACCTGAGAAAGCCAGTATGATGTTGCATTAAAAGGTGAAGTAATTTGGCAGAAAATAAACCTGCTTGTCCTCAGAGATCAGGGGGTGGCTAGGCTTAGATTCTGAGTGATACCCAGTTTGGCACTGTAAGTCCAGTCGTGTTGAGCTACCATGATTACAGATGCACTAAGATCACACTGCACCTTCCATCTGGTTGAGCTCCATGGACTCACATGGCCAGACCTAAAGAGTTTGGTGGTGCCCAGTGAGAAACTTTTGTGGCTAGCTGTGTGAACAGTGCAGTTTATTGAAGCAACAGAAATACAGGTTTTTACATGATAAAGATACAGTCTTTAAGCCAGAGATAAATACACAGTCTGCAAAAGCATGTGCAAAGTTCTTATGTGATAAAGATACAGTCTTTAAGCCAGGGGTAAATACACAGTCTGCAAAAGCATGTGCAAGTATCAAAATTATGAATAGTACAGCCTGGCTACAAACATGTTAAGTTTAAGAAAAACCCATATATAGGGATTCCTAAATTTCCCCAAGGAACCACTCAGTATAGTCCAGATCTTATCCAAAGGCATCCCTATGAGGGGAAGAGAGGCTCAGCCTGTTGAGTGATCCCAGAAGTCAGAGGAGATCTGTGATGGTGTCTCCCCAGACCTGTTCACGGGGATATCTTCCCTCACATTACCCCTCTCTTAAGTCATTTTTATACCATTTTTTACCTTCAAGGTGGAGCTTGAGTGACTCTAATGATACATACTTTTCTTATCAGTGGTGTAAAATCTCCTTGCTTCACTTTTAAAGGTAGAAGTTAAGAAAACTTCAGGGTACAAGCTCAGTGAGGGGTGGTCGCACTTTGGAGGTGGATAGCCTCTGGGGATGGAGGTGCCTTTTGGTATTATAATGAGAAAAAAATCACTTAAAGGACAGTATTTTGTCAAAAAATGACAGATGATTGGCCCAGAGTGGCAAATATGCAGCTTATCAGTGTTATAGTACCATAAAGTTGTGACCTCTGCAGTGATATCACAGAGCCTGGCCGTGTCATTTGTTTTTGAGCAAAGTCAAATATTGAAGATTTAAAGAATTTCAACCCAGTCTAATTTTAATCAGGTAGTTCTCCTCCCTCACAGTGTTGTTTGATGTCCAGCCACGGATCTGGTGTTTGCAGCCGGGTATTTTGCATGACACAAATGATTTTTAAATTGCTCCCAGTCTGTTTGTTTCAGGAGGGCCTGTTTCACATGACACTTAAAAAAAAATCTGACAGTCTATACAGTGAAGAGTACAAATGAAAAAACATCCACCTAATATTAGCAATAACAAACTTTGAAAACTTGATGGATTAGAAGGTGTGAGGGGATTCCTTTTAACTTAAAACACTCTCTGCATCTTTGTGTCAAAGGCTAAGCCACTTGGGTCTGGAAGTGATAGCAGCTCAGATCCAAGCAGCAGTAAAACTCAGAGAGAGAATGTCATTCCACACTCTTACTACTTTAATTCCTTAATTACCTTTGGTCTCAGCATTATCATGTGCTCCCCATATGCATCTTTGCCCTGTATTATTCCTCTGGGATAGGCTGGGTCTGCGTGCTGGCAGTGTATTTAATATTCTTGTCTGACACAGTCTGGAGCCCTGTGGATTAGCATCTGTTGAGTTTAGCAAGTTTAAAGCTGCTGTGGCACAACAGTGACAAGCACTGTGGATGAGGCTGGAACTGCTCCATCTAGCAAGCAGACCTGTGCTACCTGAGGTGGCCAAGTGACAAACAGGAGCAGTAAATTGCCATTTGCTGCACTGATCTGTAACAGAAGGAGAAGGAGGACACATTTTGCTGGAAGGAGGTGCAGGTATTGGCCCCAAGTGAGGAAAGCCTGATCTTTGTGTTCCCAGCACACAGGCTTCATCTCAGGCTTCATGGTTATGAAGGCTCATGCTCTGACCCTTCTATCCCATCTCACCAGCTTCTGTAAGCACCAGGTGCCTTTTTTCCTTGTTTTCATATACTTGGTCTCTCTTCCTTCTCCTTCAAGCTCTCATTTGTGAATCCATTTTATCTGTCTCATGCTTTCCAGTCATAATTTCCCTCCTTGAACTCCTCACTCCTTCTAGTTTCCTTCCCTCTTCCAGCAGGTGCTATGTCTTTGTGTGCTGGTTTTTTTATTGTCTCCCTCCCTTCCCTGCACTACTTCTTCTCCTCCTAGCTATCTCTTGTGCACTTTTATTTCAGTCATCCCAGACCTAGGGATCACTGTAGCCTGGTGAAGGTTTATTCCCAGTCTTCCTATTTTTCTGTTTCTCTCTGTAAATCTCAGGCCCAAGCCACCTGCACACCAGGTCCAGGCTCCACTGCTGTAAAGTTCCCAGGGAGCTTCCCAACCTCTCCAAGATGCCACCTTGTTCACTTTGGATTCTGCTTAGGCAGCTTTTTTTCTCCTATTTGGCCAAGATCAGCAAAAGAAAGAATGGGTGGGGAAGAAAAAGTGTATTCATTAATTTGGAAAGGCAGTTCTCACGTCAGGTAGCTGATGCAAGACCTGACACAGTTCATAACAGCTCTGCCACAGAAAATACCATTTATCCCCAGTTTTGAAGATATCCAGGGAGGAGGAGACTGCAGGATTAAAAAAGTTCTACCAAGCATGGAAGTGTCAGCAATTAAAAATTTTCAATTTACTAAAATTTTAATAGATTCTCATTCAAATGGAAAAAAAAAGTTCAGCCCTGCCATGTGACTCTCTGCCTCACAAATTTCAGATCCCACTTCCAATAGCTGGCAGCACAGAGCACTTAAAAAGTTGTCAAAGTTTTTGAGCATGGTCAAAATGACAATTCCCTGCACTGCCTCATCCTCAACCCTGGCAAAATATTTTGACTGCTAAGGAAGTCATACCAAATCACCCAAAACAGAACAAGTTCAGCCTAAATTGCTTTGAGTTTGGTGAAGTTGCAAACAATTGTAAATGGAGGGGTCTGGTGTACAATGCTGAGCAGTCTTGGTAGAGTTTGGGATAAACCTCCATGAATGACTTTTTGTGGGTGCAAAACTCCAGCAGTGCTGTGCTGGGGAGTTCTTTAGTATGGAGTTTGGGCTGCCACATAATTTTCCTGGATCTTCAGGAAACTCCTGTCCCTCTCTGGCTGTGTGAAAGACCTGTATTTTACCCTGGTTCCTTGAAGGGATGATGGCCAGTAAAAAAGTGGGTAGGAGAGGACAGATCACACAAAGAGAAGGGTTGGACATGAACTGCAGCACCAATAGTCACTGTATCAGGGCAGGAATGGCTTAATGGAGCCACAAGTAGAGATGCTTCAGCAGACAGGAGGAGGAGGCCATGGAGGGAATCTATGAGTAGTTTTTAGCAACAGCTTCCTCCAGTGACTTTATTTCTTAGGAGAGAAGGAAGAGCAACTACACAGTTTGTCAGCCTCCCAGTTGGGCATCTAGCTACTTGGAAAACTGTTTCTGGTGATCAGCTGGCAAATTCCCTCAGCTGGTTCACACACAGAGGGGAAAAGGCTGCTACCAGGAGAAAATCAGACAAAGGGAAGATCAGGCGTCAGAGAGCTGGAGAGTGTAACGTGCTGAGGTCAGCAAAATGAGCTCAATGAACAGGAACACTGAAAACCCCTCTGGCTAACATAACACAGAGTTCAAAAAGGCAAATTCTTCCTCTTTTTCTGAAGTTATGAGGAAGAGGAGGCATACAGAGCCCTGTGCTGGTGAGATGTCTGTTCTCGTGCACCTGGGGAGGTGGGGTCACTCCCCAGGGTCCCACTTGTACTCCTCTGGTGCCAAAATCTACCTTGTAGAACAGCATCATGGGACCTCTCCTGCTCTGCCTTCATGAAGCAGACAGCAGACTGACCTGACCAAAGGTACACTGCTATGTGCATGCATTAAGGAAGGCTGTGGTGCTGTATCTCTGGCTGTGGGTCCTAGAAGTGCCCTAGTCCTGGGCATGGGGTGCTGTGACTTTCTATTCCATCAAATGGCTGGGTGAATTACTGCCTTGTGTCAGTGGACCATGTACAAGGTCTGAAAAGACAGAAGTCTTGCTAAAGGTGCTAATAAAGAGGCATGTTGCTGCAGGAAGGGGATCCAACAGCAAATTCCCCTGCTAACCCTGTAACTCAGGGAGTGGTCATTGAAGAGCCCCTTGATTTGCAGTTGCTGCACAAACACTCCCAGAGTGCTCAGATCTTGTAGGTATGAATACTTTGATTTCATTACAAGGGGCCATTCCTGAGCTGGGGTAAAAGCAGCTTATCCCTAAAGGTTTCTCTGCAGCTCTGCAGCATTATATTAACTGTGGATGTGGATCAACATTTGGCTGGTGGGTGGAATACACACACATACTTCATTGCCACTAATTTGGGATAAGTGTGTTCCTAGGCTGAATGATTAATGTGTTAGGCAGGTCAGTGCTTGATCTCTCATAAGTCATCTTTGGACTACAGGTCCTCCCTGTATGCTTTTAATAAGCTTTAAATAGACTGGACATGAGACATCTATTTATTTCTGAAATTTAATGAAAAACAATTAAGTCCTATCCATTAGAAGGAGAGCCTTCAGCCCATTTTCTTTCTTCCTTGTGAATCCAGAAAGTGGCAAAGAACAAGGGACAGAACAGATCTCCTAGATAAGTAGCCAAACACCTGGTCACAGTGGAAGAAGATGAGACAGCCAGAAAACAAACACTTCAGGGAATTATGGCAGAAATGTGAAATCTCCTGACCTTCAGCTGAAATAATCATGTCACCATGTTGAGTTACACTGGCTGAGCATCAGGCCCAAGGTTCCTGGCTGTTTGGATGACATTGTTCTGTTCAGTTTTTATTCTGGTTGTCTCTTTGAGGGTGAAAAGAAGGAGATTCTTTTTTCCCTTCTCTTTTGCACATGTCTAATTCCCTGACTATTTATAGCAGTTGAATAAAGATGGTTATCTGTGTATACCTATAAGTGAGGGACAGTAGCTTGTGTTTCTACATATGTGTGTACAGATAGGAGGGGAAGTAGGGCTCTCATTCTTGGTTCCCATGAAACGTGGCATTTGATGAATGTTGGTTATTAACTGTTGATGTGTGGATAAGATTTCTAGCAAGCTCCTTTGGCTGCTTAGCAGGGCTTGTCTGGAGGAAATATTCTAAATAGTGGACAACATGATTTAATGATAAAGGAACGTTGTATTTTTATGAGGTTTTCCCCCCCTTGCCTCCTTGTCTGTGTTCTCTAAATCTTCTGTCTTATTGCAAAGGTTTCAGCTGCAACTCCTGGCAACCTGGGGCTGGAATTCCCAAGCTGACATTGCTATCGACAATATTACATTTGGACTGGACTGCTTCACTGATGGTGAGCCACAAATGCTGCAGAATACCTCGAAGAATTTGGGTGTTGTAGTCAGCCTCCCACAGATCCAGGGCGCACAGACTCTGCTCTCCCCACAGAGTGCACGTGGATCATTTGTGTTAGCTTTTGCAGCACAATGACACTTTATCTCAGACCTCCTGAAGATGGCAAGTAGAGGTGATTTTACAGCCTGTCAGGGTCTCCTAGTGCTTTTTTTTTCCTCTAATCTGGGATATCCTGTATCACACAGTTGAGACCTGTGTGTGTGTCTTGGCAGGAGACAGGAGGCTTATTCCTCAGCCCCTCAGTGGAAGGATTACATCACACCATTCTTCAGTGGTCCCTGCTGCCCCCTGCCCCCTGGCAATCGATAGCTGAAGGGAATTTGGTGAAATCAGAGGGGAAAGTCACCATATTTTAGTGGAGGAAAGGAAGGAATAAAGTGACTCTCAGACAGTGAAGGTTAGGCTATTGCAACAAGTTAGTTTTACTCTCCAAGGAGGCACATCAACAGTCACTACCAGAGACACAACAGATGTGCTTTCCTTTGCTTCATTAATGCAAACAACAACAACAACGTATTCCACTGAAAACTGGAGAACATGCTACCCTCTGAAACATGTTAGCAAGAGATGGATTTTCTTAGCAGATAGGTGGAAAGAGATTGGATGTTTGAACCAGTTTTAACTATTAAAAACTGCCTTCTTTTTGTCCCTGGAGGAAAGACCTTTATGCTCTCTTGTAAAAGCCCAGGAGAATATGCAGCATTTGAATTGTGACTTCTGTTGCAGACAAAACGTGCCTCAATGGACCTGTGCCACTCTTCATGTGTCACCACACCCAGTATGTCAGTATTTAGGGTAATAACATCTCCCTGTGGAGGCCAGCTGTAGCCTAACATAACGTGGGGATGCTTATGGCAAACCAGACATGTTAAAAGTTCATCAACAAATGCCCCTTTTCCCTCCCACCTTTGTCTGGTTCAACATCCCTTTGTTCCACGGGCACTGAAACCACTCTTCTATAAAATTCTGCTCCTTAATATGGTTCCTTAACACCCCTGGCTCCCAAACACTTTTGGGATCTCCATGCTAACATTTTGTTTTGAAATCCTGTGAGGAAACTGAAGGGAGTGATTCCAGATGCTCTTGTGCCAGCTGGTGTGCACCCACCTGCTGGAGCTCACTGAGAGCTAATACAGCCTCCAGTTTGCCTGCAGACATTTTGCTGGCTCTGGTGGGGGGATGTATCCTGTGGCAAATAGGTGGGGCATAAATGCCACTGCAGTAATGTTATCAGAGCTTGTCCATTAAACCGTGCAAGTTACTCCTCATTTTCCATTAGTATAAATTGCACTGATGCCCAGGAGCAGCTGGCACTTACCCCATCCTGAGGCTGTGACCCAGAGATGTGTGACTCATGCAGAAGAAAGACATCACAAAGGAAACATGTTTCTTGGAAGCCTTGCACTTGCCCCTGTTCCTTGAATCCTCTTTGTGGATTGACATTTTCTCGCCTCTGAAAGCCACCCCCTTGCATTTGTCTTCTGATGACTTTAATTCAGTTAGGCTGCAGAGAAGCCCAGCAGCTCTGCTGTGTTTTCAGTAATGAAATTATTTCTCCCTGGCAAGGAGAGGTTTCAAATGTCAGAGATGGAGCCAATTAAGTTCCAAGCAGTGAATTCTTTGCATGAGGGCAGCAGGAAGGATGTCTGACAGGAAGGAAGAATTTGCTGCTTGCTAGGATGTAAATATTATTTTCTCCATCCATTTCAGTCCCCTAGTTCAATTGCTTTGCAAAACCCAGTGCAGACTTTGAAAGCACTGCTTGACTGTATGCAAGCTGGGGGGAAAGGTGAGGTTTTCCATCCACCTCAAGATTGAGAGGAAAGATTTGGTAAGATTTAGGAGGAGAAGAAGTGGCTAGTGAGAGCATGTCAGGGGACATCAATAAGGACAAAAAAAAGACTGTTCTTTGGATGGCAGCACCTGGGCAGGGACAGATGTTTTCTGTGTCACAAAGGTGAGATGAAACTACCTTCTGAGTCATACCATCACCTTGTGGTGTCACAGACCAGGTGACATGGCTCTGGTTCGTTGTAAGGACTTTTAGGGGACAGGCATAAAGATATTTTATCATTTTAGCTAACTAGTGCTTTCATAGGAAGAAATCTGAATTTTGTGTGTCTAAATATGAAAAGGGGAGCCTGCATGGCAAATGGTGCTGAGTGTTGCCCTCAGTGCTCATGCAGTCACTGTTTTTACTACTACCTTTGGTGCTCCCAGCATTGTGTTGTTCCAATTAAGATCACAGGTCTGTGCTCTGTCGAAGTGCACTCTACTGCCCTGGCCTGAGGATTACATTTCCTTCTGTGCATCATGTACAATTTCCCAGAAGATTAGTTTATAAATGACAAGACTGTCCAAATAGAGCTCTTGCTCTAGTGACCTCAGAGTCCCCAGCCCAGCAAAGCCTGGTTCTGTTGACCTGCCAGTCTCATTGCTTAAGGTGAGCAGTGGGGGGTGGTTCAAGCATCGTTATCACCTCATTTCGCTGATTTAAGAAGGTGTTGACTAGAAATGCAAGAGATCAGCCAAAGGGATGGGGATGGGGAGGCTGGTACAGCTTCCTCGTTCTCTGTCTCACTCCAGGATAAGCTGGAGAGGCTTCCAGGAATGCTCCAACTTGCATCAGTTAGGTGGGATCTCTGCGGAGATCCTGCACACTTTGTGGATCCTGTGGGGCACCTTACCCTGATTAATCCCAGCCACAGGACCACTGTATTTTTTTCCTTTACAGTCCCAGAGACACAGAAGTAGGAGTGAGTTACTCTAGCTCTTTGTCTGCAGGAGATGCCCTGGCTTTCTCTTTTACACTTCCCTCTGCCCCCTTCTCAGTGTGAAAATCAAGAGCACTAGCTAAATTGTGGAGAAAAGAGTCCTGTGTTCATATTTTTTTCTGATACAGGTGCACCTTAATATGAATTAAGTAAGTCTTGTTCCTTTTCATTCACTTTGGTCTGTCAGAGGAGGAAGTAGAAGCTAAAAGAGACTAGAGCACCATGTGCTGGATTCCAGTGCTACACCATGTTTGTAGAAAATAAAGCTTACAAATTCATGTCTGAGAGTGCATAAAATATCAGCCTTCTAAGAGTTAATAGCTCATGTGGACAGGGTGATGCTCAGCCTGCCTTGCAGCTTGTCTGCTGCTGAGCATGGAGAAGACAGGAACTTTTCTTCCAGCCTGTGAGAGTTTGAGACTGTTTAGAGAAGGAGGGAAGATTGTTTGTTTGGAAACAAGGCATTGCCTTAGGATACTCAGTTGGGATGCTGAAAAAATTCCATGCAGACACACAGACTGACTATTTTAGAAAGTGATTTACATTCCTTTGCTCTAGCAAACATAACCAGACTTCTATGTCTCTATATATCTGAAACTGTTGTGACCTTTGGGATTCATAATTCATTACAGGCCTTGGGAGACCACGCATCTTTTCTAGCCATGCATTGTCTTTTACATTTGGTTTTCCTTCTTGTCTTTGATCCAGTTCATTTGTTTTGGGTTAATTTCATTTTTCACTAGCTTGACAACTTCATCCATTGAAGTTCTGTATCTCAGTATGAACAGAATGTGTCACTACAAAGCTCCCTTTTACTTCCATCCATCAACGGGCTTTCGGTCAGACCTGGGGGGAATATTCTCAGGAGTAAAAGCTCAGTGAGGTCTCCATGCTTCAATTAGTTATTTGGCCTTTCTGACACAGCTAACAAGGGTGTTAATTATCACTATTTAGAGCAGTGGCTTTGCAGCAGAGATAATTGTCCAGCTGGAACTGAGTCGCCTTTGAACAGAGCATCAAACAGCTGTTAGAGTCTCACAACTGGAACAAATTGAAATATTTGTAATGGTCCTCAACTGATGAAAAATGTTCAGTATTAAATTAGCTGAGGGCTCATAAAATGGAAGAAAGCCTCTCCTTTTTCTTATAGAGATTTTCCAATCAAAGATCTGCATAAAACTGGGTAATTTAAATATTGAAACAGAATGCTTGCAGATTATAAGGCAAGGGTTCAGTTATTACTTTTTCCTCTTGTAAGGCAGCTTTTGTTATGTGGTGTTCTCAATGCATTCAGATGCTTTGGATCAGCAGTTGCTTTGAAGTCCCTCCTCTCTGAGAAAGGGATGAATTTTTAAAGGCCTGTTTCACTGGTCAGAAATGTAGAGTTTTGCTCTGTGTTTTTTCAGAAAGATTTAAGGCTTGTGTCAAGGGTATGCTGCTTTTTCTTAACTGTATGTTAGTGAGACATAATCTTATTTAGTGTTTTATTCCCTAAGCAAGGTCTGAGGTGCTCAAAGCTGGTTGCTGAGAGGGGAGTGATCTGTTAGGCTGGTTTACTTACCATGACACCATTCTGAACCAAAGATAGCAAAGTCTGTTATCACTCTCCTTTACGCCTCTGCTTGTTTGCCTCTCCAGAATTGTCACCTGCCCCTTCAACAAGCAGAGCATCAATACTTGATATCTGTTCTCCCACACTGTGCTTTTCCTAAAATCACCTGTAAAAAGCCAGTGCAATTTGTTGGCCAAGAAACTTATCCTACAGGTGAGCTTGCATGGGATAACATTGAGAGTTTGTGTTCCTGTGAAGAGACACTGACTTCAGCACAGATCCAAGCAGCTAACCCAAGACCTGGGCTCAAAAGAATCATTAAAAAAAATATTATTAAAACACTTTTTTTTTTTTGCCCACGGTATTATTTACTTAATTTAACCAAATGGTTGTGCTTGGTTCATTCATGTGATCTTTAAGTTTTCCATCTCTCTGTTCTAACCTCCTCCCATCTCTCTCATCAATTCTACAAATTACAGGAAGACAACCAAGTCATTTTGGGGGGAAGCGCCAGTACCCACGGGAGATTAGTATCCTGGATGAGCATCTTCTGAACCCTCTGGAAGAGCCCTCCCTCCCAGGTACTGAAAATCTGTCTCTTGGATACAAAAGGTGGCTCCTCTCCCAGGAGTGTGTGAGATCTGCCTGCCCTATAGCAACAGGACAACTAAATACAGTTCATCCTAACGATGTGGACACCATGCCAGGCAATCTCTGTTTGGCTATAGGGCAGCAGTTTGCTGGAGCCCAACTCCCCTGTGCTTAAATAGCAGCACCTCTTTAAAGAAAAGCAGAGTCATTAAGTAAAAGAAGCTTTAAGTAGAAGCTCCATCTCAGTCACTGGTCAGGATGGATGTGTTTGAGTCTTAGACAAGGGCTGTGAAATGGAGGACATGGTTATCTGCTGTGTTTTGTAGAAGCAAAAGAGTAATGCTTAATGAAAGCCAGGAAATAAATTGCTTGGAGGAAGATTTGCTTGTCCCCACTGAAAGAGTTTGGTTGTAGAGAGAGGTTGTCCTCCCCCATGTTCTTGCTGCCACAGGGTTCTTGTGCAAGCCTGAAACACAGTCATCTAAAACTTTCACATTTCATAGGTGGCCACTACTTGTGATGGCAGATGTTTTTAAACTCTAATTCTGTGTAAATGTTTCAGTTCTCATTTAGAAAGTTGAATAATATCTCCTTGCTTCACACTAGCACTGAATAGGAATTTGATAATGTTTGTGAGATCCTTGGATAAACCCCTGCTCAGAAGTCCCATTCCTCTCTCCCACCCCACAATCAATGGGGTTTATCTGCAGTCTGTAATGTATTAAATAGTGTGCAGGGAATAAAGTGAGAGAGGGACAAAAGCTAACAGTGACTATATACAGACCAGTAGTTGTTCTATGACTCGAATAAAGTTGGGCTAATATAAGTGCTCTGTGATCATATAATTAAGGGTGATACTGTAGTAGATTGTATTACAAGGGAGCTGCATTAAAGTTGAACAGATAAATTTAACTTTAGCATGTACCAGCTTTCAAGTCCTCAACACCATAAATGCAAGCTTAAGCATTTTTTTTGGTATAAATATAATAATAAGCATGTGATCCAACAGACATATATTGAGTTTTAAAGCCCTGTAGGTAGCATATACTGCTGCAACACAGTCTTTCTCTGAATCATCTGATTTTTATACGAAAATCATTGATGCTTTTTGTGAATAATAATAATGGGAACTTCATTAATGAAGGATTATTAAGGAAAGATATCAACAGGAGCAGTTTTTGTTTCAATGACACTTGCTCTGCTTATATAGCTCAGTGAGTTATTGCACATGTCTAGGAAACCAAGGGAAGCTCACAACTGCTCCAATTCTTGCTGTTTTGGTCACAGGGGACACGTCCGTTGTTCTCTGGTGGTTCACCACATGTGGTGCCAGTGGTCCACAGGGGCCAACTCAAGCTCAGTGTGACAGTGCCTACAGGAACAGCAACGTGTCTGTGAGTGTGCAGAAAGAAGGCAGGCTTCTGCTTATCTAGCTCAGTGAGTTATTGTACATGTCTAGGAAACAAAGCTCACAACTGCTCCAATTCTTGCTGTTTTGGTCACAGGGGACACGTCCGTTGTTCTCTGGTGGTTCACCACATGTGGTGCCAGTGGTCCACAGGGGCCAACTCAAGCTCAGTGTGACAGTGCCTACAGGAACAGCAACGTGTCTGTGAGTGTGCAGAAAGAAGGCAGGCTCAGGGGCGTGCAGGTCTGGAGGGTGCCGGCCACAAACCGGTACAGGTGAGTACTGGGGGGCTCTGGGGGGGCAGCCACCTCTCTCTGCCTTTTGTTTGTGGAGTTCTAGCAAGCATAATTGTTGTTCCATCTGTACTGGGTGGAGAGGGCAATGAAGTAAGAGAGAAGTAGGAGCACTAGCTGTGTGGAGCTGTTTTTGAGCTGCTGCAAAGCATGGCGTGGTGGAGTTGTGATTTAGAAGAGATCAGGAGTGAAGGTGGATGTGTGGTCCAGCTTTGGACTTCTCGACTGGGCTATAGTGGCTCATCCTATTTTCTCTTGAAGTGTCTGTCTCCAGTCCTCTGATCTAGAGTGGGACTATCTTCTTGAGCAGTCCAGCTGCATGGGTCTCAAAGAATAGCCATGAGGTGCTGCAGCAGGGGAGCCTGCTCTGAAGCCATGCCTGTTTGGGGAGAGCTTGCAGATGGAATTGTTTTGTGGATGAGAAGTGTGAGATTTGTCTCTCTAACTTCTTACTTTTTCTTCCAGGATTTCTGCTTATGGAGCAGCTGGGGGAAAAGGAGCCAAAAACCACAATAAGAGGTCCCACGGGGTCTTCATCTCAGCCACCTTCCAGCTGGAGAAAGATGAGCTGCTGTACATCCTAGTGGGGCAGCAGGGGGAGGATGCCTGCCCTGGGGTGAGGGCTGCACAAGCACATGTGGGCAGAGACTCTGCAGACACAGTTCACTGGGATTCAGTGGGTGGGTTGGGGTTTGGCAATGAACCGTAGAAATCCCAGAATCCAACAATTAAATCCAGTCAGGAGCCTCGGAAGAACCAATAAACCAAGTTAGAAGGAATCTCAAAACAAATATAAAGAACTCTGAAAAGAAAAACAGTGCCAAAATGTACTAGCAAATATGAAGCCTACAGGAACTTTAAGCTCCTGGTATTTGAAATACGCAGAAGAAAGCCAATGAAGAACTTATTTTATAGCAGGGAGCTAGTAGGGGAGAATTGTGTGCTCCCTCTCCTGTTTTTCCACAGCCTAGGTTTCTTTCTGTCTGCCAAGATTTCAGATTAATCTATCATTTCTAGAAGCATCCAGCAGCGTTGTGGCTGCACTGTGTAAGATACTCTCTAAGCTTAGAGATTAAGGTCTGAATCCAAAGTCTGTCAAAACCAGTGGGAATCTTCTCACTTAGTTACAGTGGCCCCTGAATTAGGGATTTGTGATGACAAAAAAAAACCTTTTATGAGAAACAGAAATTGGTGATGTGAATGCTTATATGTTTGTCCTCTAATATTAGACCAAATGATTTGAAAGTCTTCTTATCACCTCGGCTCAAAAGTTGCCTCTTTTCAGCTTGAATCTTTTGGTAATGCCTCTTTCCTCCACAGGTAGACTGGTGAGTTTTGGGATGCATATGCTGTTCTTGTAGGCATTCAAAGTTGCAGTTTACATTGCCTAGAGCATATGATGTCTTATCATAGAATGTCTGGGGTTGGGAAGGACCTTTAAAGGTCATCCAGGCCAATCCTCTTACCCAGATACTGCAAGAGATTCTAAAACTAGCCTTTTTTTTTCACTTTAGGTAGTACAAATATTCTACCTATCTAAATAAGACATAAATTTGTCCATCTGCAGTTCCCTCTCCAGTGCACTCTCCAGGCTTAGGTTGTAATCTGCAAAGTTGTCCATTACTCCCTTCCATTTCATGACTTCTTCAAACTGCAAAGTATAATCCAGCACTAACTAGCTCCCTGTGGCAGATGCCATTGGAAAAAGTTTATGTTCATGTTTCCCACTTTAAAGATGAACTTTCTTTGGCTTTGGGAATCCTGATGAATCCATACCTTAGGTAACTCATGTTTGTTTCCATTTCTCTGAAGAAGTTCTGCAGCTCCAAACCTTCGTTCTCTCTCCTTAGATTTACCTCAGTTACTTTTCCCTGGTCCTCATCTACCTGCCTTGTCATCTCTTGGCCTCTTCTTTGAATGAGAGGACACAGGCAGTAAAATTGGCACCACTCTTCTAGCCTAGGTGTGTGACATGACCCACACAAGCAGCAATTTCACCTGCACTGATACGACACAGCAGCTCCTGAAATTGTTCAAACTTCCTCATCTGAGTGAAGCTGGGCAGATTTACAGCCATTGAAACTCAGTCTCACCAAAAAAAACCCTCTAAGTTGGCCAAATAATCTTTAATTTTTCAAGCTTTTCAGTGTTCTCTAGTATTTAGCAGGAATAGGATACTGGGACTCCAGATTTCTCTTCCAAGATGTGCCAGTAGGTCACTCTTAATTATGGGTGGGCTCCTTCTCTCTGCTTTATGCATTTATGAGCTTGATACCTTATGATTTATACCTAATAGAGCAGAAAGAAAGTTCTAAGAATCAATACATAATTCAACACTTTTTAATAGCCTTGAATATAAGAAGTTCTAAATATGCAAAATATAAACTATGTGATATAAATAATGAGTTATTGCTGTGTTGCTTTGTTTTTTTCTGGAAGCATTTGTGTTTTCTCTTGCATGTGCAATGTGAGTTTGTGAATCAGAGGTGACAGGCAGATCCCTCAGCTGTTGGTCCTTGTAGAAGAGTTCCCTCTCCACAAAGATAATGTATATACTGTTCTATATATGCCCAATACACATAAAAAATAATACAATATTTTTATACTGAGAAATACAGATAACTCTCAAGAGCTGGACTTTGCTGATATCTGGGTGCATCACTTGTCTCCTTTCAGGGCAATCCTGAAACCCAGAAGATCTGCTTAGGAGAGTCATCTCTCATTGAAGAAGATTACAAAATAAAAAGGGACCTGAAGGACTGGGCTGGAGGAGGTGGAGGTGGAGGAGGAGCAACCTACATCTTTAGGGTAAGTGTTTCTTCTTTGCATCCTGCCTGAGCAGTGTCCAGCAGAGCAATTAGTTTCCTCTGTCAATCATGGCATATGATACTCAGTTCTTAAAAAAAGGTGATGAAAAAGGCATCTCCCTCTCTTGTCATCTCCTCCCTCCCAACTCCCCTTCTGCCTCTCTTTGTATTTTTGTCATTTAAATTTAAATTCTTCATGTCTTTTCATATCCTTGGTCAATACTTGTCACTGTCACTAAGTTAACTGAACTGGTTCCTCAGATCTTGGCACTGTCCCACATGGCATCCTTTGTCTCTAAGATGGAGAGACATGGACTTGGTGGATGGACCACTGGGTGGATAAGAAACTGGCTAGAAGATCTCACTCAAAGAGTTGTGATCAGTGGCTCAAAGTCCAGGTGGAGATCAGTGACAAGTTCTTCAGGGGTCTGTTCTGGGTCCAGTGCTGTTTAACATCTTTCTCAGTGACAGGGATGGTGGCACTGAGTGCCCCCTCAGCAAGGGTGCCGATGACATGAAGCTGTGGACTCTCTTGAAGGAAGGGAGGACATCCAGATGGACCTATGACAGGCTTGAAAAATGGGCCAATGCAAACTGCATGAGGTTCAACAAGTCAAAGGGCAAGGTCCTGCACCTGGATTGGGCCAGTCCCAGGCACAGTTACAAACTGGGCACAGAGCTGGTTGAAAGCAGCCCTGAAGAGAAGGATTTGAGGGTGCTGATTGATGAGAAGCTCAACATGAGCTGGCAGTGTGCTCATGAAGCCCAGAAGGCCAAGAACATCCTGGGGTGCATCAAAGAGTGTGGCCAGCAGATCAAGAGAAGAGATTCTCCCCCTTTTCTCTGCTCTCGTAAGGGCCCACCTCAAATACTGCATCCAGTTCTGGTGTCCCCGCTAAAAGGGACATAGGTCTGTTGGAATGAGTCCAAAGGAGGGACACAAAGATGAGCCAGGGGCTGGAGCATCTCTGCTATGAGGATGGGCTGAGGGCACTGGGATTGCTCAGCCTGGAGAAGAGAAGACTCCAGGGGGATCTTACAACTGCCTTCCAATACCTGAAGGGAACCCACAGGAAGGCTGGAGAGGGACTTTCAACAAGAGTGTCCAGTGACAGGACAAGGGGAAATGGTTTGAACTGAAGGAGAGCAGGTTTAGAATAGATCTTAGGAAGAAGTTCTTCAGTACAAGGGTGGTGAGACTCTGGACTAGATTGCCCAGAGAGGTTGTGGATGCCCCTCCCTGGAGGTGTTCAAGGCCAGGTTGGATGAAGACTTGAGCAACTTGATCTAGTTGAGAGGTGTCCCTGCCCATGGCAGGGAGGTTGGATTAGATGATTTCTAGGGCCATTCTGTGATTCTATGATTTTGACAGCTCAGGTCTGGGAATCATACCAGGATCCCACTTTAATACTGGCAGAAGTCCTAAATACATATAACCCCCCAGAACCCTGGTGTTCAGTTCAACAGTTCCTCTTGTAGACAGGAACACAATGTAAAACGTTCTTGCAATGAATTTAGGAAAGAGTCAGTAGCATTGCCCTGGCCTTGGGCCATTCTTCCTTGGGATGCTTTCATGGTCTGTAATGAGTTTGTATGAGTTCATGTGTCTAAGGGATGTGGAGTTTTTCTGATGTTTGCTGGGGGGTTTTCCAGCAGAAGGATGGGATTTTCGAACCTTTGCTCATCGCAGCAGGAGGAGGAGGAAAAGCCTACCTGAAGGCTCAGGACAACTCCCTGGATGATGGAACCCTGGAGCAATTTGAGAACAGCACTGCAGTCCCTGGAGTCAGTGGGAGGACTGGGGCAGCAGGTGAGACACTGAAACCACACAAGGTCTGAATCAGAGGGCTGAATACACACGTTGTCTTGCAGGCACCAAATAAGGGGCTTCTTTTTGGTCTTTTGGAATTCTTCTGTGGTAGAAATATGCTGGTAGTCTATAGCAGGTGTCCTTTAGGTGGTGTGTCCCCAGATAAAAGACAATGCATGGAATAAGTGATGAGTGCTCCAGTACAGACTATTCCATAGTTAGACTCCTCTTGTCTATGAAATGACTCAGTGAAAATGATGTTTGGGAGATGGAGCCCACTCCTTCAAACAGTAACAATGGCCTTTGAAGAGAAGATCTTTTCCTTGTTACTCCCCTGAAACCCTAACAACAAGAATTATTTTATGGGAATTATACCAGAAAAGGAAGCTTATTTATAATCATGTAAACCTGGGCTTAGAAACCATTTCCGAGACAAAAAATTCCAGGATGGTTCTCCCTTCTCCTGCTGTTTTAGCTTTATAGAGGGGCCACTAGAGGGAGATGAGGAAATCCACTTGATTTTTATTTCCCCAGGGAACATAGCATCTCACTGGGGCTGAAAGCCCTAACAGGCTGTCCCAAAGGGGAGTGGTGGGCTCCTCATTTCCCTAGTGCTACTAGAGATGGATGCCAAGCTGCTGGTTCTGCAGCACATACCACAGGCTGTGCATTACATCTCCTCTTTGTTACTATCCATGGCAACAAGGAGCTTGGCTGTATATTCTCTTAACCTCAAAGAGCAAGTTTAACTTGAATGCAGGCATTTAAGAAGTTAATAAGGGCCAATCTCTCTACAGTATCTCTCCTATTTCCCTCTGCTTGTGCCTCCCTCAACTGTTCTCGTTTTGTTTTCTCACTCTCTGACTGAAGGTGGAGGTGGTGGCTGGCAAGATGAGAGTCTGCTTCCTCAGGCTGGGAAATCCCTTCTGGAAGGGGGAGAAGGGGGCCAAGCTTGCCCCCAAGCACTAGCCAAGCTCCAGTGGGCCACCTCAGGTGGTTTTGGTGGGGGAGGAGGAGCTTGTACTTCTGGTGGAGGAGGTGGAGGCTACAGAGGTAAGTCTGCTGGGGGAATAGTGTCTAGTTCTGAACCCCTCAGAGCACCTGCAGTTAAGGGCTCTCTCAGTGCAGAGGTACACTGCTGCAGAAGGTGATTCATAGATACTTCAAACTGAAGAGTGTTAAACTCACCCTCCTCTCTTCCATCTCCCTTTCATTAGGGAAATCAAGGTTATAGAAGTGTTTTGACGTGATTTAGAATTTGGAAGGTGTGCTGAATCACCCCTTCATTCATCCCAGGGAAAGCATCCCATTTCCTTTTTCTGTTTAAAGCAAATCTGTATTCACCTTGCTGAACTGAGAAACCTCCACTAGAATACATCACTTCACTAACCTGGTTACTGTCTGGGTCAAGTAAGCATCTATTCATCAAGGCCATTGTACATATTAATATCACTGGGAGGCTGCAGAGTGACCCCAGGTGATAAGAGCCAGGGATGAATGGGACACTTCAGAGGCAGCAGATCTTTTACAGCACTGAGCAGCTTCTCATACTCTCCTTTCCCAGGGGGGCATGCCTCTGACAGTGATGATATCACAGCTGGTGGGCAGGATGGCATCTCTTTTGTGAACCCCATTGGAGAGATCTTCTTGCATCCCCTGGCAGGTACAATATGCTTCTTATTCCTCTTAGTTCTTTTCTTCTTCCTTTTTCCTTCAACCTCTCTATTTCCTCTCTCATGCTCCCTCTTCTCCAGTCTTTGCTTTTTGTGCATTTCATTCTGGTGTGTTTTGCTCTGGAAGTTTAGCTGTGGTCATTCCTTTCAATATTTCTGTAGTGCTCTGGGGTGTTTCTCATGTCAATCTCTAGGCCAGGAGAGACACCAGTGATCAGGTTCAGCTGCACATCCTCAGTCCCAGACATTTCCAGGTCAATTCACTTCCAGACCTCTGTGTTTGCTTGAGGGACTCAATACCTTCCTCCCTTCTGGTGTCCATCAGGTTTCTGATGTGTCCACACTGTGTTGGACTATCTGCCCACCTGCAGAGAAGGAGAGAAATTGCAGGTGCCTGCTGGGTTTTGGTTTGTTTTTTTTCCTTACCAGAACAAGATGAGAAAAACCAAACTAAGCCCACCTGTTGTGTCTGATTCCTTGCTCAGCCATGGAGAGCCACGGCGAGGTGGAGGTTCAGGTCTACCTGAACTGCAGCCACTGCCACTCAGACAACTGTAAACGGGACCCTGATACCAACCTGCCAGTCTGCCAGTGTGAGATGGGGGCTGTGCTGGCCAACGACAACGTCACCTGCACTGGTAGGATGTGAAGTTTTAGCCTCACTGGATAATGTCTGTGTTCTTCCTGTCATCTCTTCTCCTGGCTTTTGTGACCATCAGTTCCCCATGTTACAGCTGGTGGCTCCAGAAAACACAGTGTTATGAGAAATATCAGCCAAACACATGCTGAAAATGCCTGGTGTCCTTTTCTTGCACGCTGAGCTGCATCTCTGTCACCACCTCCAACATTCAGGCTTGCATTAGGTAGAAGGGTAAAATACCTGTAAAGAAACACAGTCTAAATTTCCTGAATGGACTCAGTGTATCAAATATTGAAGTGTAAATACTTCTCCAGTGTAACATACCACCTACTGCTAAGTTATTTAAGCCACAAATTACTTCCTTCCACAGCAGTTTCCCACTGTGCCTGTTCAGCTGATCCCTGGTATTCACTGTTATTTCCTGACACAGTCTCTTGGAACTCCAAAGCACCAAGACTGTAGAGAGTTTCAACTTATGAGCAGTGATGTTACCCATTTATAAAAACCTAAAGAATGGATGAGATTGTTTTTATCAGACAGTTTTCTGCCTTTTAAAAATTATTATGTATTTTTTCAACCTCCAGGGCTGTGGAGGGATTTGCTGTAAAAAAATGTTCTGGCCATCATCTCCACTGTATTTTTTTTTTTTTTTTAAATAGGAACAGCCTTCAGAGGGATGCTTTACAGCAGCTCTGGTTGATTTCTCATTAATCCACCTCTATTTTGCTTTTTTCAGTGCCCCAGAGTCCTACTGCAGAGGGATACCTGCCTCTCCCACTCCTCCTAGCTGTGGTGGCTGTGATCGTGGTGCTTGGAATGATCCTCACGTGTGGCAGCCTATCTATTGGTAAGAAACACTTACTCCTTATCACCCTTTGACTTGGCTTTTCCCAGTTAAATGAGACAAAAGAAGACCACCCAAAAACATGCTGCTGCTTTTAATACTTGGAGCCAGAGTGTTGTGGTCTCACAGGTGGAGCAGAGGGACAGGAAGAAGGGATAGAAAACATCACCACCCCACAGTTAAGGCATGGGCATACTCCTAAAGGGTAAGGACTGCTATGTCCTTGTGTTTGCTACAAAAAGAGCTTGGAAAACCCTCTTAGCAGGCATTTCTTTAGCAGCCACTGCTGTGTAGGCTGAGGTCACAGTCTTTAACCAAAGACATAATTAATTCAGGGAGATGTTATGCCTTTTGGGACTTGATGCCAGCAACATGTCTTGTGGAGAACCCTCTCCTTGGCCAATGTACAAAGAAGCAGAGGAAACCTAAGTTGGTCCCAGGTGACTGCAGGAAGAAGACTGCATATCCAGGATTAAATCACCACAGAGCATGGAGAGCAGTGTGACACTGCCAAGCTGAAAATGCTTCTTGAGCATTTATCATCACAGATTTGGTTTCCTTCTGTTCCATGTGGCCAGCATGATCTTTTTTTCCCTGGGTATTGCTCTTGTTTGTGCATTTTTATTTGCCTCCCCACCCACAGTTTATCACCTCAAGAAGCAGCAGCTGGAAGGAGCCAGAGCACGACTGCAGAGCCCAGAATATAAGCTGAGCAAGATCCGCACCTCGGCCATCATGACAGATTACAACCCCAACTACTGCTTTGCAGGGAAGGCTGCCACCCTCAGCGAGCTGAAGGAGATCCCACGGAAGAACATCTCTCTGCTTCGGTAAGGGGGCTCCTCTCTGGCCTGGCAGTGGGGAGGCAGCCTGAAGCAAAGGCAGGGGGAGGGCTCACGTGCTTCATTTACTCATCATCAGGTGTCCAGGACAAGAAAACAAGAAGGGCCACCTAGCTGGAAAGCACCTAGTCCAAGCCAACCAAGCTTCAATAGATGTGACACAATCTCTGATCTCTGGAGGTCCCTTCCAACCTCTAACATTCTGTGATTCAATGTTCTCTAGGATATTTTGATTCCATTAAGTTCTCAAGGAGCAGCATAAGTTACTGAGTCTCCTGTTCTATGTTCCAGGTTCTCACACACAGCACTGGGTTATATGTTCTTATACAATGTCTTGGGTTATATTTGCCACATGGCAGTAACTCCCTTCCAAATCTATCCAGCATTTCCTATCACAGGGAAATACATGCTAGGTTGCTCTCCAGCTCCATGCCATCCAAATGATGTTGATCCAAGTTATGTAAACTTTAGAGGAAAAACCTTGATCCTTCCTATGTGCTGTCCTCTGCCATCTCCTGAAAACACCAGCTCTCAGCCATCTTACTCTGCTGTTCTCCAGCTCTTTCTTGCATTGCTTTTGCCACACTTGGTGATAGGGCCCTAGGATTGAGCAGGCTGCTTTAGTTGTCCATAACTTTTAAGGATCCAACATCCCTGCTTTAGTTACAGTGACAGAAAATACTGAGAAGTTAGATTCAGATATATTTGAGATGAATACAAAATTCTGTTGTTGATTCCATCTCTTTACAATAGGCTCTCTTCCTGTTCTGGGACTGGATGAAGAGAACAGCTCAGCCAACACTGGATCTAGGGGCACAGTAATATCTCTTTCTTTTCTTCCAGGGCACTAGGACATGGTGCATTTGGTGAAGTTTATGAAGGAACTGTCATAGGCATTGCAGGGGATCCCAACCCTCTTCAAGTGGCTATCAAGGTCAGTACCCACAAATTTCTTCTACAACAATAATTACCCATAAGAACCATATTAGCTTATTAATTTTCCAGTTGGGGATTCAAGTTCATCCCATACATGATGACATACATGTGTGATGCAGGTTTCCACACATTGCTGCATCCAGGATTTACAAGCTTTGAGTTTTAAGCTGTGTGGCACTAGCAGCAAGGTGAAAATAAAGCATGAATTTCTTTCCTGAAGGAGTGGTCAGGCACTGGAACGGGCTGCCCAGGGAGGTGGTGGAGTCACCATCCCTGGAGGGGTTCAAAAAACATGTAGATGGGGTACTTCAGGACATGGTTTATTGATCATGGGAGTGTTGGGTTGGCAATGATGACTTGATGACCATAGAATCATAGAATCCTTTAGGTTGGAAGGGACCTCCAAGATCATCAAGTCCAACCATTAGGACATGGATCATGGGAGTGTTGGGTTGACAATGGTGACTTGATGATCTTGGAGTTCTTTTCCAACCTTAATGATTCTATAATTTTATTTTGCTCTGGAACACTGCATATGGTTAAATGCACATAAAAAAATCTCCATGTAGGTACAAGTTTCCTGTTCTAACTTTAACTACCAAATAGGTTGTGTGCAAGAAACTGGGAACTGAAAAGATGAACCCTGCACCCCCCACCCCCCAGGATCCTCAAGTTGTTTGCATGTTACATGCTCATTCTTTTCTTTTTTTTCCTTTGGTGGTTACCTAAATGTTCTGAATTCTTTGGTGGGATGGTCCTCATTGTCTTTACCTCACAACAGACCCTGCCGGAAGTCTGCTCTGAGCAGGATGAGATGGATTTCCTGATGGAAGCACTGATTATCAGGTATAGTTTAAGGTTTTTATACTGGTGGTGAGCAGGAGGGGAAAAAAAAAGTAATGCAGGTAATAAGAATCATTTATCCAGTTGTATGGGTTCAAAAAGGAAATCCAGCCTTATTTTTCACAGATTTTAGGAGCATCTGAGTTACTGGTTTCGACCATGTGTTCATCCCAAACAAAGTAACTGAGGTTCTTCTGTTGCACATCTGTTGTGGTTTAATGCCAGTAGGCAACAGCCCCACGCATCAGTAGGGTGAGGAAGAGAATCAGAAGGGCAAAAAAACTCAGGGATTGAGATAAAAATAGCATAATAGGCAAAGCAAAAGCTGCATATGGAAGGAAAGCACCATAAAGAATTGATTCATCACTTCCCACTGGCAGGCAGGTGCTCAGCCATCCTCAGGAAAGCAGGGCTCCATCATGCCTAACAAGTTGCTTGGGAAGACCAGAGCCAATCTCTGAATGACTGCCCCCTTCTTTTATTGCTGAGCACCATGACAGATAATGTGGAGCATCCCTTTGGTCAGCTGGGGGCAGCTGTCCCAGTTGTCTCCCCTTCCTCAGCCCACTTGCTGGTGGGGTGATGTGAAAATCTTTTACCAGTGTGGCAGCACTGCTAAGCAATAGCTAAAATATCAATGTGAATTCAACACTGTTTTGGTCAAAAATCCAAAACATAGCACTGTATGAGCTACTGTGAAGAAAATCAGTTCTATCCCACCCAAAACCAGTACAACATCTTAACAAAAATCTCCCCTAGCTGGCTCTTCTGTTCATGTTCAGAGGAGTAAAAAGGCACAGGTTCTGCATTTGAAATCTCTTCAGAGAATCCCAATGCTCTTTTACAAAGCAAAAATCATACCCCAAAACTACAATACACTAGAATATCTCTCTTGTGTTAGAGTTTTTAGAAGAGCAAGTTTGGCACTGAGAAAGTGTGAAAAGCTTCTCCTATTGTGGCTTTCAGTCAGTAGCGAGGTCCATGTGCAGCCTCTTTGCTTTTCCTGCCTGCAGAACTGTTTGCCACAAGTCTTTGCAGTGAAGGTCCTGGGCTTTTACCCTTTCTTTGCACAAAAATAGCTGAGTGAGACACTCTGGAACCCCTGCAGGGATAAGGTGATGAATATGGCTCTGTGTGCAGTGCTTGCAGAGGTGGAACACAGCCCTTCTCCACTTCTCTCAGATGTGTTCTGCCATTTGATGTCTTTGCAAGCTTGAAAGAACCTTCACAAAGTCTCATCTGTACAACCTCCTGACAGTGAACTCTAAGATCTGTAAAACCTGCCTGAAGAAGATAACAGGCAGCCACTCCTATTACCACGTGGACTTTAAGTATTCCAGCCTTGGAACTGACTTTATTAACCCAAATCCATAATCTTAAAACCATAGTATAGTTGAGGGTGACTTTAAAATAACAGCATAGTCATGATCAATCCTAATTGATCAGAATTTATGCCTTTTTTAATTTGTTCTATATGAACTTCCTTTCCTTGTTGTCTGGCCCAGCTCATACCTAGATGCTGATTTTTTGCTGTTAAAGCATGAATCTCATGACATAGACTCCCAAAAGTCTGCAGAAAAACTGGTGGCTGAACAGGATGTGTGGTTTTCTTTAAAGAGCAATTTCAATCGATTACAGAGTGCCTTGATTCACCTAGCAGCACATGACTCTTTCTCTTCCCCAGCTTCTTTTCCCTTTTTAGTTCCTGTATTATCCAGGTAATCACTACCCAAGGGAAGATGTTGCTTTCTAATGACTGAGTCTTGCTGAGCTGCTTGACAATCTCAGCCTTCTCCTGTGAGAGGCAGAAAGCCACAACGTTAGCAGCTGCTGCAGTAGGTGTTGGCTGAGTCCCTCTTTTGCAGATTAGATACTGAACTGAGTTCACCAAACTCAACAGTATATTTAAAATACTCAGTCCTGAGCAGTGGTGCCTTTAATTCAGTACCTTGTTTCACAAATGCCAATAACATTGGCACATTGAAGTGCTTATCTTCCTTTTTCCTCTCTCATCATCCCCACCTTTTCAGTCAGTGTGCTAAATTCTCTTCACAGTCAGAAGGTTCTGCTTGACTTTCAGCTTCTCAGACCTACTGTTGAAAACTTTCCATGGGCAAAGCCCAGGTATAACCCTGATCTTGGGGCTGTCATGCTCAGAGAGGCGTTTTGATATGGCTGAGTTAGGGATTTGTTGGGTAGCTGGCACTGTATCAGGATTTGCTTCAATCCAGGTTGTCAAAGCTGAAGGTACAGTGGGTGTAGCAGGTTTTGGCTGGGTACTGATGTGTATTTCTCTTCCATGTTGCTGTGATTCTGGCTTTCAGTAAGTTCAACCACCAGAACATCGTGCAGTGCATCGGGGTGAGCCTGCAGATGCTGCCTCGCTTCATCCTGCTGGAGCTCATGGCTGGAGGAGATATGAAGAGCTTTCTTCGGCAGAACCGACCCAGGGTGGTGAGAGAACTTCCCTGCTAGGCTTGTGGTTGATCTTAGTGCTACTGAGCTTATTTATGAATATAGAAGATATGCATTTATGAATATAAAGGCACTGAAGCCAAGCAGGACTGTGTAGGTGTCCCAGCTCCCACAAACTTCTGGGTGCACACGTCTGTTTGCTTGATGTCAGTGAAAGAAAATGAAAGCAGAGCCCAACCCCCAGTCTATTGGTAACTGAGGAGGAGAGTAAAATCCTGTCCTGTCATCCCAGAGTTGTCCATCACCTGGATTACACATTATGGGGCTTTCTTTCCTCAATGTCTACCTTGTTTTCTGTGCACTGTGGTGGTCTGTGAGGAGCTGAAGTTGTAACTCTGAGATGCAGAAATGGGAATTTGAGGCACTGGAAGTGTAGCAGGTGTGGATCAGCATCATGTGGAGATGCACACTTCTCTGCTAGTTGAAGAGCTGAGCTTGCATGTAGCACTGTGACAAGGATTAAATTCAATGCAAATGAAACTGTCAAGTCTTTTTTTTTTTAAAAAATCACCTTTATATAAAGCTGTCATGAGGGGTTTTGCAAATTATCTCTGATTTCTAATAGCATATTACTGCCAACCAAGCACAGGGAATGTTTGGAATTAATTGATTTCAATGTTCTCCTAATGAATAGCAGATTCCAGATATGGGTACTTGCTTCTTAACAGTGTGATCCTGGGCAACTCTGTTAAATAAATATTATTTCATATTCCACTCTGCTTGAGTGGAAACCTTAAAAAAACAGAAGAATTAGGCCTGATTCTACATTATTTCTTGTTATATTGAGGTGCCTACACCAGCTGCCTACAGGGCCAGGAGGAGGCTGGCTGGTGCCTCGTGTTCTCCTACACCACATGATGCAACTTCTCCTCCACTCCCCCACCTCCAAATGGTTATGAGCTGTAGCTTCGTGTGTGTACTCCTATGGTGGTATTAAAAAGTTGAAAGATGGAGCTTAATCTCTTCCTCATATAGGAGTAAAGACACTAATTAAATGCATTTGCAGTGGTATAACAGCACCCAGATGGAGGGGGGTTGTATATCTTTATTTTTGGCATTTATGGTGAGAGTTGTAAAATTTCCGTGAGCAGATAAAGTCTGTGGGCAGCAAAGAATAATAAATACTCTTATTTAAATATGACTTATAGTTGTAATGCAAAGAACAGCTATTTTTTAAATACCATGTGAAAACAAACCTGCTGTTCTGTTAGCTGGTCTGCTAGCAGAGAGCAAACACAATAGTGGAAGTCCTTTTAGTGCTCAAAAAGATGTCCCAGAACAGAGATGGAAATCTGTGGAAATTTCTCCTCCTTGCTCTTCATTCCCTCTCCAGAAATGTCTACTTTATATCTACAATAACTCTCCCTAGCAGATGTCCATGAGCTTTGTACAAGAATTTGCCCAGCCAATAAAACCAGTGCTCAGTGGCTGCAGTGTATGTTTATGTGGTTTGAGCAGGAGAAATTACAGTGATAACAGCATCCAGAAACAAAAGAAGCCTTAAAAATAACAATTTATTTGATATCTCTTGGGCTTTTTATCATCAGCATAGTAATTTCTTTCCACCCTTCTTGAGAGCAATGTAGAAGCTCGTGGAGAAATATCAAGGACATTTCCCTGTGGCAAAATACCTGATGGGATAAAAACAAGCAGGGCTCCTATAGAAAGACTTCTTTATTGCTCTTAGTTAGAGATGTGTGGATGGTGAAGGGCTGGTACCAGTCCTGGAGTCCTGTGGTAAAGCATCCCTTTCCTGCACACTGCTCCTGAGGGTAATTCCATCCTTCCACAAGGACGAAGCTGATGATGCTGACTGCTGCTGCAGGGACATGCACTCATGCACCCTTGCTCCCTCTCTCAGTTCATGTGCTAATTTCTGCTGATAATTTATTAACTCACTGTTTAAAAGTGGGTAGGTTTTTTTTTTTTCTCTCCCAATCTCACCTTTTAAACCCTCTTGTCTTTTGGTTTCACAGTCTGACACCAGCAGGGAGCAGCTCTCTCCCACCTCCTTTACTAGGCTATTCAGGCCAGGCCATAAATCTCCCAAATGGAATATCCTGGAAGTTTTTTAGCTTAAAAAGTGTTTACTCATTTTCTAATGCTTTACATCAATCTGCTTATGTTCCTCTTTGCTCCTGCCTCATTTAACCCTTCACTCACCCTGCCTGTGTGTCTCTGCCTTGACCTGCTTCTCTCTCATCACCCCCTGCTGAACG